TGCGGAATTCTCCTGATATATTTAATTGCACCCACAAGGCTTTGCAAACAAGGTATCCGACGAAAAGAACACCGAGCCACAGAGGATTTCTGCCACAACATATGAAAATGTGAGTAGAGAGAATCTCCTTTGTTATGAAAAATACTGAGTCGATTCAAAAGGATGTGTAAGAGTACCTTAAGAGAGTCATAAATTCATTAAACCCAAGAACGACCAGGGCAAGGATTGCCCATGGAGGTGGCAACCAGTTGTTATTCCGTCGGTTAGCTTCCTGAAAATTCAGTAAGACTCTATTCAGATTTGAGCCTCTTAAGGTTTTGTAGGCAGTTAGATTATGAACCACCAAATGAGAAAGGAGATAGGAATCAAATAACATATCTTTAAAACTTTACGTTAGAAAATTCTAACATCAGCGTACCTGTGCAGAGATAGCCTGTGTGACGGTATATTCTGTTTCGTTCTTGAATTGTCTCCACAGTGATTTACACTGTACAGGTGTGATCAACGTCTTTTCTGGCGCAACCTGATAATAAGAAGGCAAGGACAGAGATCTTTGGCGTGGGTAATAAATATAACATCTTTTGTATTTTCATTATATACACTGAGTAAGGTTTTTATTCACCTGCTCCCAGGTGCTTGAGGCGAGTGAATCAATTGTGCTGATGCTCTTGCTAGTAGCATTGTTGCTTGTAGCATTAACCAGAGCGAGAGTTAACGTCTTCTCAATATTGTCGAGTTCATCATCCAAGCGGATAACAGCCATAACAGACAGCAGCTTCAAGGACTAGAAAAAAAAAAGAGAATAAGGGTAACATCAAAATTTTGAGGAATTTGTGATCGAGCCAAAGAATAGGTGCTAAGATATTGCTATGTCAGGTAGGTTTCATACCGCAGAACGAGCCATTTTTGTGATTGCTCTGATGTCCTCTTTTCCAGTCCAAACACGTGGCATTGAATCAGAATCATGGCTGAAGATTGTAGCAAATCTGGACAGAAAAGTTTGTTTAATCAGAAAGCTGTGTTAATGATGGACGTTATCGGACAAGGATAATGACGAAAGACTAGTAAAATGGTAAAACCTATCCTTCATCCGCATCAACGCTCTTCCAGCCTCTTCTTTTGCCTTTGTTTCAACAATACCTCGTGCATAGTTCTCAAGGTCATTGAGCATTTTATTCCTTGTTTCTTCGTCCATGTCGAAGCCAGATAATGCGTTGGAGAGACCATAGACAGCCAATTCTCCTTCCCGTCTTAGTAGCTTTCTTATTGCTGGCCATGTTTCATCATTAGCTCCATCCAGGAGAGCTTCCACCGGTCCGGATAATGCTACATTTAGTTTTGACTGCAATGACGATTAGCTATTAGGAAGGTCCACATAGGAGTTTACACTTTACACCTGTTTGGTGCTAGAGACCAATATGTATGTCTTATTGCTACTTGAGAATTTTATTTACCTCATATAGAGTAGTGAGTTCGGACAACTTTGCAGTACGGACAGAAGAGATATGGGCTTCGATATCACGATGAAGCTTTTCCCGAGTTTTAGACGTATCCCAATTTGCTTGTGCAATAACAGCCTCTGCAACAAAACATTTCCTTTGTGATTCCCATCATGTCGGATATCTTTTCATGCTTTTTCGTATTATAATCTTTCAGGTTCCAACATGTTATATCATACATATATCACACTATTTTGTAGCAGTAACATCATCAATAATCTATACCTTCACATCCTTTATCAAACTTAGACATGCAAGACTGAGCACAGGAGTCCGCAGAGGAAGAAAACCCTTCTCCAGCTTCCAAGGATTTCTCAAAAGCATTCTTGAAGTTTTCAAGCGTACCAGATCTCAGGTGTCCAAGCACGTCTTGGAAAGTTGGTTGAACAAGCTGGATGAGACATAGAAAAATGAATGCTTAGTATTATGTATCTGCTTCTTTTACAACGATGCAAGTCTCTGAATATTTCCAGGTGACACATGATTGCAACAGAACACAAGAATGAGAGCCAAAATTTGAGAGTATATGCATTACCTGCAATAACTTTTCCTGCAGCTGTTGTCTCTTGGATGATCTTACACCTTCTTCAAAGTATGTCGCTTCTGTGTCATACCTATGATACAAATCAGGAACCCCTTAAAAAGTCAATTCATACCCACCTAGAATTAAACATATGCATGAACGCCTATAGTTTTCCTCAAAGTTAGATCACAGGAAAAAACTGTACAGAACAATTAAGAACAATGTTCTTACTCTGATAAGCAAGACTGGAGAATTGAGCTCAGTTTTTTTCCAAATCCGGAAACAGGACCAGACTGTACAGCTTCTTCCAACTCACGCCAATTCTATAAAAACATATATATAATATCTCACTTTACGTATGAAATTAAACAAAAGAGGGATTGAAAAGGATAGAACATGAAGCAATAGAAACAAAATTCACCTCATTCGCTATGAAACCAGAGAACTTTTCATTGGCAATTTCCTCACATCGCACAGTTGCTACCATGACCTGCGCATAAATAACAAGACCATAAGGAACAATGACATACAGTTGACAAGGCGAGAGGCTTAAGCAAGCAAAATTACCTTGTGTGCTGGAAGATCCAAGTCTTTGTTATCTTTGATGACTTGCCACATCTGTTCTGCGCTAAAAGCAAACGCATTGGCAGGGACAACTCCTCGTCGATCACCAGCAAGTCCGCCAGGTGCGACAGATTGGAAGAACCGTTGTCTCAAATTATAGACCTTTCAGTCACGGAAAATAGTTTAGGAAAAGCATTAATATGATAATATCACCCACAAACCATCTGTTGAGCATTAAAGCACAGAAGATGACCCTGGATTTCTCCAATATGTAAAGCTAATTGAGAAAGGAAAGAACCTGCTCTTTGAATTGCTCTTCCTTTTCTTCATAACTGGAGAGAGCAACTACTTCAACCTGTCACACAAGAAACAACTACATATATTCATCCTAGCGAAAGAAAAGAAAAAACAAAGTTCTTATCCTTATGGAGCAGACGTACATTGAAGAAATCACTAAGTGGAGTTTCTTTGTGTGCTTGAGGCTTGGGGACTGAATCCCATATCTGCATTTAAGGAGAAAATTTAAGGGACTACATAGTCAAGGCATATGAAAGCTAGAGACTGTCTCTTCTTTTACCTTTTGAATGTCTTCCCTCAGCACTGGTTCTAAATTTTCCAATGGTGTCTGCAAATAATCAGACATTAGAAACATCCACAACTTATCTAATCCAGAAAACAGGAAGAAAATACTAAAGTGGACAAACACAAATACATACCCGTGTTTTATCTCTTATGACAAACATCAAAGTCGTCTTCCGCGGACTAAACAACCTCATCATAACCTGATCGCATGTAACAGGAAAAACATATCGTTCTGAGACTTCGGATCAGAGATAACTCATCCTGATAAGAAGATGCAGACACTTACCTGGAACACAGTCTTCAAAAGAGGTTTATTTGCTGCTTGTTCCCGACCAATATCATGACACCACCTGCATTGTAAATCCGAGATATAAGATAAAGACAGAAGAAAAAAGTCATGCTATCTATAGAAGAAAATAGAGTACAGAAATGAGAAAACCACTTACATGTTTATGAGAACTATGTCAGAGACAGCAAGTGCAAAAAGAGCACTCTGTTTCTCGAAAGCAGTATCATCCTAACAGCCAAATACAAGGAAACTGAACGTAAGTAAGCCGTTCTGCACTCTAATCAATACAAGCCAAGCTTCATCAAAGTCATCCACAATTCAGTGCAAAAGCGCAAATTAAAATATACTAAATGGCGTAAGATAAACACCTCTCCACGCTCTCTCCCATCGGTACCCTCTAAATCCATCACAACGGTGCAAGGCTCAATACCAGCGCATCTAGCAATCCAGATTCCCTTAGTCGTCTGGGACCTAAAAACAAGAAATTTCCGCGGTTAAAAGAATCGTAAATTAGAAGCAAACTATTCTTCCGAAAAAGGTATACAAGGATCAGAACATGCCTTCCTCTAAATGCATCCATCTCTCTAAAGTTTGTTCCGAACAAATGATTCAAGAGCGTACTCTTCCCTGCAAATTCAACCAGAATGACGTCAAAATCAGACCTAAGAAACATGGATCCAGAAGAAGCAAGCTTTTACACTCAAGGATTTGATACATACCGCTACTTTGTGGACCCATAATGGAGACAACCGCATATGAAAGACCACATTCTTCCAATTTAACCTCCTTGATAAAATGATCAACCCCAGAAACATTAAAGACACCATCTCCATCGATAAGCTGGGTAGAGCAAGCGGCATCTGCAATTTCCATACAATAAAGAAAGAAAGAACATAAGCACAAGTAAATGTCGGCATTTGAACGAAGCAAGATCTTCCCGCATGTTGTAGCTACTGAATCTGAAATTTAGCCTTGCTATACAAAGGCAGCTTCAAAATCTAGACTTTTGTTTATTCCGCACTCCTCACATTAGTGTTTCTTTAAACCCAGAATCCTTAGTTCTTGTGAAGAATTTTGGATTTCTCTATTGATTCCTTGCATTTTCCCACTCAAATCACTGTTAACTCAGGAGAAACCTAGCTATGTTTCAGATTCTTCAATAGAAAAACCCAAAATTTCGACAGTTATCATGCAAATCTAACCTCAAAATAATCATTGACACTCATCTATAACCAGAAGAACACAGGAGATTCAATCACACACCATCTTATGAGCAAAGAGACTTATCAAATTTACAACCCGACGGATCACAATCCAAATCATAGAACTTCAACTTACAAAAGAAACTGAAATTGAAAATGGTACACTTGATCGAAATAACGCTTGATCGAAGATAAAATTAAAAAAAAAAACTGATCAGATCAAAGGGGAAAAGAAAAGAAACGGATCCACGAGATCAGGAACATTAATGAGCAGAGAAGAAAGAGAGATTTGTAAATAAAGTACCCATTGTCGCCCAACGACGCCTCAGATAGAGTGACGAATGAAGAAGAGAATGGTGAAAAATAGAGAGAGATCTCAAAAGGGAGCTCGAGCTTATGATGCACCGGTGCTTAAGACGACTGGTTCTGGTAAGGTCATAGGAGGAGGAGCTTCTCCTATTTGACAAAAGAAAAATGCCAAAAAGCTATTATTTTTCTTTTCCCAACGAATATCTACTTTTCTACGATTTTTTCTTATTTCGGATCGACTCAAGTTATATATTTTACCCTCAAACATTCACTCATAAAGTATATGACTTCGAGGATTAATTATTTAATCAGCACTGTTCAGGTCCGATTAACTCTTTTTATTAATAATATCAGACGGAAAGCATGAAAGCCCCTTAGCCCAATAGTTTAATAAAGGTTTATTAATACTTTTACATCAAGAAGTTTGAGTTTCAAATCGCGCTGGTAAGCGTGGTATAGGATGAAGATATAGCCATTAATCATAAATCTTCATAAAACGATAGAATTGATCGTTGTAAAATCGTAATGTAATAATTTTTATAATTTGCAATAAATTAATAAATCGATGTTAAAAAAAATATCAGACGGAAAGCAAAGTAATTTTCAGGTAAAATTTCACAAAGAACTAAAGAAATTATGATATACTCATTGCATAGGACCATAGGTAGACGGTAAGGAGATATTGGGTCCCACGTGGGATGTAAACATTGATGCATGGCTGGACAATAATGGGCCCCACATTAAAAGCCCAATTTTTAGTTGGGATCCACCTCGCCGCCTCTTCACCTTTGCCAAAGTTGGACGGTGTGTGATCGGCTCCGGTATAAACGACACGTGGATCTTCCACCGTCCGATTACTTTTCGTTGACCACAAGGATATTGGTTTATATTTGGTGTTAGAATTGTCTTCATTTTCACTTTTCAACGTAGAATTCTTTTGTCTTAAATGTGATATATACTGCTGAAAATTACGAAAGAAGTTTATATGAGGCCTAAAACAACTAATTAAAGGCCACGTTGAGGCCCAGTTAAAGAGAGAAAAGGTCGTCGATTCGTGAAGAGAACAAGAGAGATTTTAAGCGCGAGGTCTCGAGCCGTCGACTGCGCCTGAAAACTGGAGGGAACAAAAAATCGGGTTTATATCGAATTGTATCTAACCGGAGAATTAGAACCTAAGCCGGAGAACGGAGGGAAAATATTCGTATCTAAAAAGACCGTTGAGCTGCAGACAAAAGCCGTTATAGTTTGGTTATGTGATGGGAGAACATGTTTCAGTTCCGAGCCAAGACTCCGTTCAACAACAGTGCTCAAGATTCTCTCTTCCTTCTTTTCACCAAACAAGTTGCATTGGGTTACAAGCTTTTCTCCTCGTTATGCCAGCCAAAGAACATGGTTTTGGATTCCAAGGCTTACACGAAACTTGTTCAGACATCGGCGGAATCAGGCTCCGCGGTTCTGGGAAAGCTTGTCCATGGCCACATAATCAAGTCTTCCTTCAAGCCGTGCCTGTTCCTGCTCAACAACCTTCTGAATATGTATTGCAAGTGCCGAGAACTGGGCTTCGCACGCCAGTTGTTCGACAAAATGCCTGAACAAAACATTATCTCTTTCAATTCTTTGATCTCTGGGTACAGCCAGATGGGCTTTCATGAACAGGCCATGGAATTGTTTATCGAAGCTAGGGATTCTAATTTGAAGCTTGATAAGTTCACTTATGCCGGTGCATTCGGCTTTTGTGGAGAAAAGTGTGATCTTGGTTTAGGCAAATTGTTGCACGGGTTGGTTGTTGTAAACGGTCTGGCTCTGAATGTTTTTGTCGTCAATGTGTTGATCAACATGTATTGTAAGTGCGGAAAGGTCGACCAAGCAATGTCCTTATTTGATCGATCCGATGAAAAGGACCAGGCTTCATGGAACTCTTTGATTTCCGGTTATGTTCGGGCTGGTGCAGCGGAGGAAACGCTTAATATGCTGGCTAAAATGCATAGAGGCGGCATAAAGTTGACCACTTATGCTCTTGGGAGTGTGCTAAAGGCTTGCTGCATAAACCTGAACGGAGACAATGGTATGTCGATTCATTGTTACGTAACGAAATTAGGAATGGAATCAGATATAGTTGTTGGTACTGCATTGCTTGACATGTATGCCAAAAATGGAAGTTTGAAAGAGTCAGTAAAGCTTTTTACTTTGATGCCTGGCAAGAATGTGGTTACGTATAATGCGATGATCTCCGGGTTTCTCCAAATGGATGACATAACCGGTGAAGCTTCTAGTGAAGCATTTAAGCTCTTCATGGATATGCAAAGACAGGGGTTGAAACTCTCGCCGTCGACATTTTCAGCTGTGCTCAAAGCTTGTATCGCCGCGAAAACCTTGGAATATGGAAAACAGATCCACGCACTCATATGCAAGAACAATTTTCAGTCTGATGAGTTCATTGGGAGCGCTCTCATTGAGCTGTATGCTTTAATGGGATCAACTGAAGACGGGATGCGATGCTTTGCTTCAACAGCGAAGCAAGATATCGCCTCATGGACATCGATGATTGATTGCCATGTCCAAAACGAGCAGCTTGAAAGCGCGTTTGATCTGTTCCGGCAACTTTTCTCATCCAGTTTAAGACCGGAAGAGTATACTGTGTCACTTATGATGAGTGCTTGTGCTGATTTTGCTGCATCAAGCTCAGGAGAGCAGATTCAGGGATTTGCCATAAAGAGTGGAATCGATGGTTTTACCAGCGTTAAGACCTCAAGCATCTCTATGTACGCAAAATCAGGTAACATGCCGCTTGCGGCTAAAGTGTTTACAGAGGTCGAAATTCCAGACATTGCAACATACTCAGCTATGATCTCAAGCCTTGCGCAACACGGATTCGCTAGCGACGCCTTGGATGTCTTCGAGTCGATGAAACTCCGTGGACTGAAACCGAACCAGCAGGCGTTTCTCGGCGTTCTAATAGCGTGTTGCCACGGAGGATTGGTCACAGAGGGACTAAGCCATTTCCAAAGCATGTGGTGCGACTACGGGATCAGCCCTAACGAGAAACATTTCACTTGCCTCGTCGATCTTTTAGGTCGAACAGGGAGGTTATCAGACGCTGAGGATGTGATCTTGAGCTCTGGGTTTCAAGACCATCCAGTGATGTGGAGAGCGTTGCTGAGCTCTTGCAGGGTTTACAACGACGGCGTTTTAGGGAAACGCGTCGCCGAGAGGCTGATGGAGCTCGAACCCGAGGCCTCTGGCTCGTACGTGTTGCTACACAACATCTACAACGAGTCTGGAGTCAATTCTTCCGCTGAAGAGGTTAGGGAGCTGATGAGAGATCGAGGAGTGAAGAAAGAGCCTGCCTTGAGCTGGATCGTGATCGGTAAAGAATCTCATTATTTTGCGATCGCTGATACGTCTCACCGGTCGAACCAGATGATCTACGCGATGCTGCAACAGCAGTTAGATACCATGAACACTATAGACTTTCAAGACGATGATGATACTCTTGTAGTTGCTTCTTCTGTTTACATGAAAATTTAATGCCAATTTTTCCTCCTTCTAAAGAGGTTTCATAATTCCATAAATGCCCCCGTTTGTTATATTGGGCCTGTGGCCCAAAGCCCATGTATCATCGTCTTTCTCGTACATTTTCGAAGAGAGAGAGAGCTTTCAGGGAAGCGCAATCGCAATCTCGGAGAAGGGAGAAGAAAATGGCGGCCAAAACCCTAATCAGGTCGGGAGCTTCGCTGATGAATCGGATGTTACTGTCGAAGCCGACGACGAATCTCGTGCAGAACAATCTCAGATCGTTTCAGCAGATAGCTCCTCAGGGACAAGAACTCTCGCCGTATTTCTTCCCGTCGTTGTCGAATCTACAGAGCTCGCTCAGTGCTCGCCCTAACGACAGTGTAACGCTCCAGGAACTCTCGGAACGTGGGTTTCTTCACCCGTCTGGTCTTCCTTCGCTCGAGTTCTTCTTACCAGAAGGTACTTCACTCCCTTACCTCCCATTTTGAGTGTATCTATCTGTCATTAGCTAGATTGGTGATTCGTTCTGACTCTCACTAGGATGTATCCTTTTTTGGAATGTTAAATGATTCTTAGGCTATACACGATGCTTGAGTATTGAGCAAGAACTGATCAGTGTTCTGTTTCTTAGAGTGTCTAAGGATTTGATCCTTGAGGGAATCAGAAACTCTTCTTCTTTGTTCATGTGCTTACACAATAGAAACAAGATTAAAAGTAGTAAACTTTAGTGGATGGGCTTGATTATGATCATGCAGATTAGTAAACAGAAAGTGAATGTTGTGCGTCTGGAATCTAAAGAATGTTTTGAGACTTCAGTCTATTGTTTGTTGGGGTTTAGTATCTGCAAAGTTTGCACATTTTGCTGCTGTATGAATGTGATGATGACTGTATGATAATACGTATTATGTATTTGGGTGATGTAGTGAATCCTTCAAGTGAGCCATTGCTTCTATTTCCCAAGAGGACATTCCAACCGAGCACTATCAGGCGCAAACGTAACCACGGATTCTTTGCTCGGTATGTCTCTTCAAGCTCTGCAAAATCTAGTAAATCAAACCTTTACTCTCAAAGCATCTGAAATTCAGAAACTTTTTTCTGAAACCATTGCCTATTTCTCATTCACAGTAGAAGAACTGGTTGTTTATCACTAATCGAGATTATTATGAACAAGATTTTGCATTTGTACATGTTTATGTGATTACACTGTTTACTCATACGACTAGTGAATGTCTGAATATGATAAACAGCAAGGCAACCAAAGGTGGACGTAGAGTCATAGCTCGAAGAGTAGCAAAAGGGCGTCACAGAGTTACGGCTTAGAATCTCTCTGATTAATCTTTCTCTTCAAGTCTGCGGTTTTCGAATTGGCCGGTTAAGTCTGTGTCCTTGTGTTCGTCAGGCTAGAAAATCCGAAACTTCGATCTCATTAATAACTCGGATGTCTTATTCATATCCATGTTTTGATGTGTTGTTCATCTCAGAATCGAAGTGAAGTTATAATTTTTTTTTTTAAAGATCTCAGCTTCTCTTATTAGTGGACAGTTTATATCTAGGAATCCTTTTTTTCTACATGATGTTGACAAATTGATAACGAAGCAAGATTTTTTGAAGTTGAAAAATGTGTTTTTTCGCCAAATCATTTAAAAATGATGTAAAGAGAATCTTACAGTTGACCAATGAAACTTGCATTGAATTATGATGACAGTCCACATATTGACCCCACAAAATATCATAGAGAGAGAGAGAGAAGCAATAAGCGACAAGAACAAAGATGAAGACAATAATTTCCAATACAGAGGCTAAAACAAACTGACCATATACAAACACATGTGTACGTAGATGACGAGAGAGAGAGCTCGTACATGCTCCACATATACGTGCTTACATTTACATACATCTATATGTGTTTGTATGTGTTCATTAATTGTGTATAAGGACGAACTTTATATGTGGTAGAAACCTTTTTCCATAACTCACACGACTATAACCTGAAGAACAACTAGCAACATTTATGTTTACCCCCATTGAACAAATTCAATGAAATATTTATATAAAAAAAAAAGTATTTAATGTAACATATCACAATCCTTATACTATTTATCGGCACATGTAGGTGATTATTTATGTTCTCACACTTCTCTTCTCATATATTAGAAATAAAACGTATATATATAGATTCTATATAGGTATTTATTACGTACCCATGTCTAGGAATCCCATGTTGGTGGAGTAGGACTAGGGTTTTGCTTAAGTGATGACGTACTGCCCACAAGAGATTGGCGATGATGAGGATGATGATGATGGTATGATCATGTGATTGATGTATGAGTCCACTCGATGATGATCACCAGGCATTTGCAAGTTGTACGTGGTGGGGAGAAGAAGGCCGTGGTCTTGTGAACTTGGAGAGGATGAGGATAATACTTTGCCTTCAAGAACTTGTCCACATAATAACTTTGTGGTCACCAAAGGAATGCTCCGAGGAGGATCACCATTGTCGTTATATGGTGTTACAAAGACGTTGAGTTTATTACCATCATCGTAATCTTGAAGGGCTTCGTGAAAAGTGGAAATGGTACTCGCTGGGAGATCTGGTAGTGATGGCCATTGGGGATCATTATCATGATGATGATGATGATTGTTTATGATTGATGTGGCTGACAAAGTGTCGAGATTGTTGTAAGGGCCATTATCTTGATGAGATTGGTTTGTGTTGGCAGTGGTTAGAAACTTGAAGTCTCCTTCTCTAGAGGTTGGGAACATCAATGGGGTCATAACATGAGGAGAAGGAAGAGGGAGGTGGCTTGGAGTGATGAAATTAGGGTTAGTGTTTGTTATGATATTGGGCATGAATCTTGAACCTTCATCGTCGCCAGTAGTAGCATTAAATACGTTGTGATAAGGAAAGTTAGTGAGCAAACTCGCCATTGAAGAGATGTGATGGTGAAGATGATGATGATGACCATGATGATGGTGATGATGGTGAGACATGAGCTTCTTTTTTATGCTTGAATTCCAGAAATTCTTGACTTCGTTATCTGTTCTTCCAGGTAGATGCTTGGCAATTTGAGCCCATCTGTCAAAAAATCCATAAGATAAAAGAAAATTTGATTATAAGAGTAATTCGCTTTCTTGATGAAATTTTTTGTAGTATAGTTCACATATAAATGTATGTAGTGTGAATTAACTAACAACCTGTTACCAAGAATGCTATGAAGCTCAATGATAAGAGCAGCTTCTTGAGGAGAGAAGCTTCCACGTTTAAGATCAGGTCTTAGATAATTTATCCATCTTAATCTACAACTCTTTCCACATCTCTGCAAACCTAATTAACACACACGCCAAAACCCAACAGGTCAAAACCTAAAGACAGATACTTTATTATCAGTAGAGAATTCAAGAAAACAAAAACCATATATAGATATATATGTATATATATATGCCTGCGTGTTTGGGAACAGAGCTCCAGCATCCATGGCCATATGTATTGATGTAGTTGATGAGCTTTTCGTCCTCTTCCGGTGACCAAAGCCCTCTCTTCACCTTTTGCTTGTTGCAGCACGAGTGATGACCCATCTCTCTCTCTCTATCTCTCTCCAGATCTCTCTCTAAGAATGTTTGTACGATGTTGAAGGGTATAAACTTATAATATTGTAGAGGTTTGGAAAGATTAATAATACACACTTAAAATGAGAAAGAAATGACGGCTGCAGAAAACTTCCCATTAATTTATTATAAAAATTCTATTAGATAATAATATACCACCTAATTGTGTGGACCCATTTTTTTCTTTTGTGAAATTCCGAAATAACATATATAATTTAAATTTTGACAATAATTTGGAACTTACGAGAGATGTAAAAAGTTGAAAATAATAATAAACAAAGTAATAATACTATTAATTTATTTTAGGTGGTCTTTAACACACTGAAGACGAGAGTTGGCCAGTGTATTCTTTTAGGGTTTTGTGTTATAAAAGGTTAAAAGGCTAAAAGCTGAAGTTTCTTCTTAGCGAGAGCCTGTGTGGCTGATTACAGAATCATGGCCATTGTCTTCTTGTACACAAACACGTGTTGCTCATGCAGACGATGCAGGTCCTACGCCTCAGTTATACTTAAAAAGTTAGTATAAATTTAGTTTTTAGTCTAGTTTTATTTTCTTAGTTAAACTTTAGAATTTAAGCTAATATATAGTGTATCTTAGTCTATAGAGTGCGGTGGATATGCTAATTAACCATTTAAACCCGACTAACATCACGTACTTATACGATTTTAACCATGTTAGTTATTTAATCACTGAGTCTCGAATTATATATATATAGAAGGATTGTCTCTGCATAAAATAATGTTTAGGATTGCCAACAAAGGAAGCAAAGTTTAAATTTTGACATAAAGGGCTCGAATGCTATACATTAGATTCTTAATTTGACTTAAAGTTGATGTCACTACATGTAAACAGTTTTACCAACGTGAATATATATGTTTCTTTATACGACTATAAGAAGCCAACCTACTTTTTTGTCGCATAAGAAGCCAACCTATGATTATGAAATAAATATAATTAGAACCACCATACTATCAAGCTTATATTAGATCTGCTTAAAACAATAACTTCATTTTCTATGGGCTAAAAAACAGTAAATAAGTTCACTCTGTGACAAGAAATTACAAAATCCAATCACTTTCCTAAAAAAAAAAACTAGAGATTCGAATTAGTACACATGTGATATCACGAATATAAATAAGAGTACAACCACATTTTTTTTTTTAACATTATTTACTTATGCATAATCTTTGAACCATCAGTTAGTATTTGTTGTTTTTACGGCATCAATTAATTTTTTCTTGTTTATTTGTTTATTCTTTTTAGACATTTTGATATATATGTATATGTCTCAAGGTGGTATAATTAAGTACTTTACCAAAATTAGCAACGATGTACGTACGTAACTAGCTAATACATAATCTACATTTTCAAAGATGAACCTATTATTTGGCGATTAAGTTCAATTAACGTTATAACTCGTGTCTACTAGCTTTAAAAAACGTTTTTCTGATTGATCAATTAACATTCAAAGTTGGCGTTTTCTTTTGTGTATATTTGACTTTTTGTTATCAGTTATTATTTTGTCTCCTCTTCACAAGAAAAAATCAGTTTTACACTTTAAATGGAGCATCGTAAGGGTTTTACGTGAAATCAAAACACACAAACGCCAGTCGCAATTGAGAACTGCCTTTTATTAAAATATCATATATTCGTAGGTCATGTGATCAGCATATTGTGATTATATGTATTTATGTTCCATTTAAAATTTATCTAAATGTAAATATTCCTAGAAACAGTTTCGACGCTAAACCAGCTATTTTCATAACATTTGTTATCTTTAAATATTTATTCAAGCGAGGTGAGACACATAAGTTACTGGTTGATACATTAACACACTATAATTTCTATCATCCTAAACAAATCAGTTAGGCAGCTCGCCCTAGCCGCCTAGAGAGACAAGTTTTTTTTTTTAGGGTTTCTAGCCGATGGCTGGATGCTTCTTTAGCTCTGCTATCGGTGAGATGATTTATTTTGTTAGTTCTCCACATTATTCTTTTTTATTTTGGTTGGTTTTTCTTCTTTTTTTTGGATCTGAAAGAGTTTTTTTATTGATTCTTGGTTTCTCCTCCTTTTTCATCGGTGTTTTTTTTGGTTTTTGTCGGTTCTATCTGCCACCTTCCACAACGTATGTGTTTGACTTGGTGTTGAGTTTAGACGACTCAGGTTAGTCTCCTCCACTAGAAATTACAACCAGATCTAGTTGAAATCTGCATTTGCTTTTGTCTCTGCAGTACCGGATCTATGTAGTTTTCTGTCGACAATATCGGTTACGACATCTTTAGACGGTTTTAAACCACTTCAATAGAAGCTCCGTCATGTCAATTCAAAAAGCATATTTTATAATTGCAGAAGTCTACTCATTACCAAGTGAGGACAAGAAGATTTAAAAATCTGTTCTAAATATTTTTTCAAATTCTTTGGAAATCTTTATTGATTGGGTTTGTAAGAAATCTTATAACCATAATAGCTTTTTAACTAAACTCTTATTGTAATCACTTATTAGTGACTGGTGACTTATTATATTTAATAAAAATTATAATCAGTGTTAAAAAAAAAACACTAACACAGTTATTTTATCTTTTGATCAATCATTCAAAAAAGCAATTTGACTAAGAAGGAAATACGCGTTAACAAGCGGGATCGCATTATTAGTTTACAAATTGCCAAAGTTAATTAATTAAAAATTTGCATGCTCCCTATTTTTATAGTGTGTTCGAAATTTACCCCGCTGTTTATTTTTAGGAGTTTTTTTTGGGGGTTAACATCTTCAAGTAATTTCTATCAATTGATTATAGAGTAATTTCATTTGCCTTGTCTAATTTACTATCACATACTACTTTAATGTATACTCCACTATTATGTTTCATAGAACATACTTCTTATGCTTAGATCAGTAACCTAGCAATACCAAAATGACATTAATATTGGTCAGGACATCGAAACAAAAACAAAACAAAAAATTTTAGTAAAAAAATTAACATATTATTAAGGGTTGTATTTAATGCTTGTGACCGAAGCAATAGGCCCAAACATCAGATTCTTTTGATTTTGCCTTCGATGCCACATGCAACTAATAAAGAGCTTTCACACTTTCATTTCTGTTTTTGATGAGCCATCAAAGGACACTAACTTTATATACATTTTGGCTTTTTGCTTCGAGAAAAACACACTTTTTAATTTTTTCCAACAAGATAAATCTAATTATTTCAGAGCATATCCTCTCCATACAGTATTACTAATTAGTAATTACTGTTATCAGACTGACTGTTATATACAGCAACAAAAAAAAAGTTTCCAAACTAAATTTTCAAGCTGACGTTTTTCTTTTGATTTGTATGACAATGTCTCTTTATCTCTGAAAGTTACTGTTTCTCAAGAATATTTGTATGACAAGGGTCTTCTAGACTTCTACCTCCTTGTGTCATTGTGTTAATATATCCTTACATTAGTTATATAGTATCAAAAAGGACCAACATTGATAATATTTAATAGGCTTCCACATCTTTGTGTTAAATAATTTTCGCACTACCTTGAAGTCGTTTTAGTAATATGAAGACGGATCATATACGAAACACAAGAACACAGGATGTTTTCATGGTATTGTACATATGATCAGAAAAATTTCGTAAATATTATGAGTCGAAAATTTATTCATTGCACTTTGTAATATTAATATTTCATATCGTTGTTTCCTCTTATCGATCCAACTATATTGACTTCAAAAGGAATCTTATCCGATGGGTTTTTTACAGCAGAAGAGGCCAAACAATATACAGCTAAAATGCTATATATAAACATATTTCGGTATCCGTGCTTATGTAATAGAAGGTAGGGTCTTGATGATCGCAATAATTCAAGTCAAAATGTTTAGGACAGTGCTTATCTTCGTTTTCTTGCATATTATAAATTAGGAACTAGGAACTATGGTACTTTATCTTATTATTACCACATGAAATAATTTAAGACTTTGTATAGCCGTGTGTGACAACAAGAAAAAGTGAGCAAAGAGAAGGCAAACATTAGAGAGAAGGCCCTACTTTGCCTCATCCGCTACGTTGTCAAAATTTCCTCAAAACAAATAATAGGCAAATTGGTTCACTCATGTTAGTGTCATCAAATGTCTAACTAGTTATTACCACAATGTATTCGAGTTGATTTTCTCTATCGGTATATCGTCTATTTTCTTCTAAGCTGTTTCGTTTTTATTGATCAAGTTAACAAATTTCATATACGAACATAAGTTGTAATTTATTTTATTCGGTATATAAAAGACCTAGTTATCGATAACAGAAACCGGAGACCCCAGTTGTTTTGGCTTTGTTGTGAATTAGAGAAGCACACTTGAGTATAACGAAAACACTAAAATTGCAATAAGTTCAGCTCTTTTGAAGTGAAATTTGGTTATATGCTCTTTAAAGAAGTCAAAACTCAACGGACTCAAGATTCTGTCGGAAACTTCCCTTATTTTCATAATTTGACATATATCTTCTTGGTGGTTCTGAAACTGACCTCTTAACCAATTTCTTTGAGCCCCATCTTCGTTGCCCCGTTGATGCCTTGATGGCCTCTTAACATTATAAAACTATACGCATATTTTCATACGTTATCTTGTGCTAGACGATTCAAAATTGCGAAAAAGTGAGATGATTAATGTTTGTGCAATATACCACGAAAAAATAATCGATAGTGTGTGATGTTGATCAGGTTTTCGGTAGCCCTTTTTGTAGGACTTTCTGCATCAACTTACACGTTCGAATTCTGTTTCTTTGACACACTCGAATTATGATATCAGAAACACAATAGAACATGAATGTGATATTTACTCAGATGTTGTGATCTACTAGTAATTTGTAGTAGATAGGTTGAACATTATTAAACTATCACATATGAGTTAAATTATGTAATATGTATCAATGAAACCGGTTTAGCCCGATTAATGGGTAGGTCTAATTTATCACATATATATGTGTGTGCACACGTGTATACATTATGGGAAAATACATTGTATAAGAACATGAAAGTTCGTTGGTCGTAATATAAAAGCTTCCACACGGACAAGAAGGAAGCTCTCGTCATATTTCCACCATAATTTGGTTCAACGTTCACTTTCATAGTTCCTATGGGGATAAAATTAGCAACTGCATGATTCTCTCTAGAATACAAAATGATCCTGATGAACAAATCAAATATGATTCATTATAAGTGTTCTTCCTCAAGATCTGATTCTACCTCTGTATTATACCCTGTATTATGACATGTATTATGATCCGTTGTGGTTTTAATGATAACTCAGTTGATAAAAAAAAAATGTGTTTTTCCATAGACGAAGTAAAATCAAAATTATATGAGGAAACATATGTGAAATTGCTAAATGTTTAAAACTTTTAAACATGTGTGAAAAAGTGAAACATACAAGAGATATGTAAATTTCAAGAAGAAGAATATAGGACATTAAGCAAAACACACAAAAGAAGAATAAAAGTAAATTTCATTAATTCCTGGCAATGACTAATAAAATCACAGTGACATTATTAACACAGGCACACAGCTATTTCCAGGTGCTATATCCAGTACACTTGACTGTTCATAGCCAATCAGTTTTTTTATTTTTATTATTGCATATAACAAATAATAAAGAATACTCGTTAAATGTATCAATCCTAGTCAAACAAACAAAAGTAATTTGTTTTGTCAAAGTCAAATGTGAGTACTGTTAAACAGTAGTATTCTTTATTCATTTTACTTGTTGGACGATATTCAAATCTGGTAGATGCCTATCAGAAACTTTTTTTACGTTGGAAAACAAATTTCTAAAAAGTAAGCAAAAAAAGGTAGGAAGAATATTTGATTTTACTTGATGTAAAGAATTTGCTAAAACTGTGAAACCAAAATTTGACTGATACGATTCCTTTTAGAGTAATTTTCAGACTCCGTGTGAGCTTGGCGTTAACTAAAACTAGAAACTAATTGATCAGTCAATTTTATGAAAACTTCTCGGACCATATTCTAAAAATAGAAATATGATGTGTCCATTTCCATTCATTTATTCGAGCTGACACCATCAAGCTTCCTTGCCTACGCTTAGTGCATGAAAATAATACTGTCACTGAACACGTATATTATACTATCAGTTTATAAATAGTTTTTATTTTTATTTTTGAAACGGCTGTTTATAAATACTTGAATAAAAAAATAACATAAAAATTGAATTTGTTTGATTAGCGTAAAAAAAGTAATTTGATTGATGTGAAAAATGGACAGTCCAGATTCAAAGTTGACTTTCTTCCAAATTAAGTGTCATGTTTCGATACGGAAGGAATCAGTATCAATAAAAAGAATCAAATTTCTGCAATGCAGACGACATTCATACACATCTATGTAATGTGAAGTACATTTATATACATTGATATTATGTAATGTAAAGTACATATATATATATATATACGTTACATATTTGTGGATATATATCAAACAAAAAAAAGGTGGATAAAAAGGGTGACTTTTTCATAAATGAGACCCCGTCTACTAGTTTATTTCTTTTATTGCTCTTTAAAGAAATGAGGCCATTGAGCTGAGTAATGGCTCTGCACTCTGCAGTCTATGCAATAAAGAAAGAAAGAAAATATCAAAGATAACAATTAATTTATTATTTGCAGTATCATTTGTTTTTGTTCCGCTAATTGTAAAAGTTATTTTTTATACACGCTAATTACGTATGTGGTTATTTATCCCCATATGCGGAGAAGGAGAAACATGATGTATGTTAAGTATTCGATTAGTGAAATGAATTTGATACTGAAGAAAAAGAAAACGCTAGTTATGAAAGTTACACTTACATAGTGGCATTGTTCTGACTTCTGATTTGTTTTGTGTGTGCCATCAATAGGATTGTTCTAATTAGATGAATGGATATGGAACATCTCTCTCTCTCTCTCTCTCTCTCTCTCTCTCTCTCTCATCTGTTTTCTTCTGAACTCTGATTGGAATATTTACTTCATGTACTGAGACATGTCAGAAAAAGATATTCAACTAATGGGTTATAAAATCCCAAAAATTCAAAATTTTGAGAAGAAAAGAGAACTTCCCTTATAGGTTAATCGGTTTGCTTTTTTTTAATCGAAAGAAAAAGCAAGACTTGATAGATTGGTAAAAAAATAACTTAACCAGTCCCATAAGCAACAACCTTTCCTATGTTGTAGGCATTAGGCCTAAAACCCCTCTAAAACCCACAAGCTTCTTCTTCTTCTTCTCCCTCATCTTCCTCTTTCTCTTCTTCAGGCCTCTATATAAATAATCATAGCCATCATCATCAATTCATCATCATAATCATGCGAGTGAGAGAAATAAGAAACTGTTATGTGGTTATATTGGTGATGATACAAATAGCGAGCCGGGTTTGTGCAACAAGCAGGCCTATTGCTTCCAGTCACGTTTCTTTTCATCCAGGTTTTCATTTCTTCTGAGTCTAGTAAACGGACCATTACTATGTATGTATCTATCTAGTGATAGCTTGACATGTGGATATGTTAGGGCGAAGCAAAGCTTTCTCTGTTTAGTTTCTGTCTGCAAAAGAAGATTAGATTGAATTTTTTTTATATTTTCCTTTTCGAGCAAATTAATGACTATATTAGACTCTAAGCCGTGGTCCGAAATATTTGTATGATTAGAGGTAGAAAACGAAAATTATGGTGTTAAAACGAATATTACAGATTAGTCAATAAGACAAGTAGATGATAAATGTCTATGTTGTTCTTGGGTTTTCTTCTTAGGGCAAAAGAAGAAGCAATGAAATATGTTCTTATAAATTTCGAAATTCTATCATATACATTTTTAATAGTAGTTACTATTGGGCCTGCAGAGATAATAAGCCCACAGGCTGCAGAGAGGCCCGTATTGAAGCCCAGTGATAACAAAGAAATAGAGGAGATGGAGAGAAGAAGAAGAATAGGATCAAAGCCACCAAGTTGTGAGAAGAAATGCTATGGATGTGAGCCATGTGAAGCAGTCCAAGTCCCTACCATTTCTTCAGTTCCTCACCTCTCTCCTCATTATGCTAATTACCAGCCTGAGGGTTGGAGATGCCATTGTGCCCCTTAATTATCTCATCTAACCATTCTCTTTGTTAGATCCTTGATTAGATACATTAACATATTAAAATCATTCACATGTCTCTCTTTTAAGATAATTATCATCAGTAATGTAGACTTGTAGTAACCGTTTCTAGCTATTTTAAACTAAAGCGTCAAAACTATTTAATGAAAGGAAAAAAACACTAATCAACTTATCACATGCTGCCATTTTAGCTATGTGGTATGGAACTACAAACTGAAACTTAATTAATATGTGAAGCAAGTCTTTTTCATTGTGATGAGTACTTAATTGGGCCAATCCTTGTAGTTATATCTCATTTAAATTGCCTAAAATAATAAATTCATTGTCATTGTAACTTATTCCTGTAATTTTAAACTTATGACAAATAGAACAGTTGAACAAAAAAAAATGACAAATAGAACAAAAATGAAAAATGAAACTATTTCGTCAACTAAAAGGTAACAAGGAAAAAACATTGTTCCAGGTAATTCCTTTGTCAATAATACTCAATGTAACTAATTAACCATTTTTTTTTGTCAATACCAGTCACTAATTTAATAAATTAATGGATCAATTTAGTTGCGTTTAACTAAAAACACTTACCTAATAAAAGAGATAGAAAATAGCTAATTTGTCTCTAAATTATAAAAATAGGAAGCTGATTAGTGAAGAGAGAGAGAGAGAAGAAAGGAAAACGGAAATTGCTGCTTTGGGTTTGAGTCGCAGTCGGAGAGAGTGTGTGGGGAGAGAGAGAGAGAGAGAGAGAGAGAGATTATTTTCGCTTTCGATCTTTCTTCCGAAAAGAGAGCGAAAGAGAGAGAAAGTGAACACGAGAAGAGCCTTTCCTTCTCCGTCCATTCTCTTCTGTTGATTTTTTTTTGGTTTTTTGGCCGTAGATCAGCTTCTCCGACGGAATCGGTGTTCGCGTTCACGAGATTCTTGATGAACGAGCCTCCCGATTCAAGGTAATTCTCGCTCGCAGCCTGAGCTTCTCTGCTCCTTTGTTAATAAATTGTTCCACGGATTTTGGAATTTTGGGATCACATTCAAGGGATTCCCGTTGTCTTGTGTTGCAAGCTTTGGGGTTTTCTGTGGGAATGTTGATCATTTGATCGCCGAAAATTTCTTCAAGGAGATGATTTAGGTCCCTGATTTCGTATCGTTTGCGATCGTTTATTTTGATTCCGGTTAACGGAGAAGAGAACCTAAATGCGACGGAGTTCTGCGGCTTATTATATATTGGTCAATTGTTTGTGGTGTGATGAACATATTTAGGTCACGTAAGCTGAAATGTTCTCTTGATTTTGTTTGATTTTTCACAGTGGCGAAGGCCTCTGAATCACGGGAGCTAATCTCACATCCGTTGGTAAAAGAGATCTTCGTGTTTCCTTCAACAGCAAATTCGCTCTCTTGCGTTGAGCTGGAAACTTTGAGGAGATGGGGCGTCGCAGGATAAGATCAAGGATCCGTAAAAGCCATTTTTACACCTTCAGATGCCTCAGGCCAAAGACTTTAGAGGATCAAGAACCCCATATCATAAATGGACCTGGATACACGAGAATCGTTCACTGTAACCAGCCTCACATGCATTTGGCCAAAGTCCTTAGGTACACCTCAAACTATGTGTCCACCACTAGGTATAACCTGATCACTTTCTTACCCAAATGCTTGTATGAGCAATTCCACCGCGTTGCCAATTTCTACTTCCTCGTAGCTGCAATCCTCTCTGTGTTTCCTCTCTCACCGTTCAACAAATGGAGTATGATCGCGCCGTTGATTTTTGTGGTCGGGCTTAGCATGGGTAAAGAGGCGTTGGAGGATTGGCGCCGTTTTATGCAGGACGTGAAGGTGAATGCGAGAAAAGCCACTGTTCACATAGGGGATGGTGATTTTGGTCGTAGGAAGTGGAAGAAGATCCGTGTAGGTGATGTAGTGAAGGTTGAGAAGGATCAGTTTTTCCCAGCTGATTTGCTCTTATTGTCATCAAGTTATGAGGATGGGATCTGTTATGTGGAGACAATGAACTTAGATGGCGAAACCAACTTAAAAGTAAAGAGATGTTTGGATGTCACCCTGCCTTTGGAGCGGGATGATGCTTTCCAGAGTTTCTCCGGAACTATCAAATGTGAAGATCCAAATCCCAACCTGTATACGTTTGTTGGAAACCTTGAGTATGACGGTCAGGTTTATCCGCTTGATCATAGCCAGATTCTCCTGAGAGACTCAAAGCTCAGGAACACGTCTTATGTTTATGGTGTGGTGATATTCACCGGCCATGACACAAAAGTCATGCAGAATTCAACAAAATCCCCTTCAAAAAGAAGCAGAATCGAAAAGAGAATGGATTACATCATATATACTCTTTTTGCCCTCCTTGTGCTCGTCTCCTTCATCAGCTCACTAGGTTTTGCTGTGATGACAAAGATGCATATGGGAGATTGGTGGTACTTACGACCAGACAAGCCCGAGCGCTTAACAAATCCAAGAAATCCTTTTCACGCTTGGGTTGTCCATCTGATCACTGCTGTCTTGCTTTATGGATACTTGATTCCCATCTCACTGTATGTTTCCATCGAGCTCGTGAAAGTTTTGCAGGCAACTTTCATAAACCAAGACTTGCATATGTATGATAGCGAGAGCGGGACTCCAGCGCAAGCACGCACATCGAATTTGAATGAAGAGCTGGGACAGGTTGACACAATCCTATCTGATAAAACAGGAACTTTGACGTGTAACCAGATGGATTTTCTGAAATGCTCCATTGCGGGTACCTCTTATGGTGTTCGCGCCAGTGAAGTAGAACTAGCTGCTGCAAAGCAGATGGCAATAGATCTCGACGAGGATCAAGGTGATGAAATAACCGACCTTTCAAGGACTAGAGGAAGAATGCATGGGTATGCTAAGATGCACAGCAAGACATCATTAGATATTGAGTTGGAGACTGTGATCACTGCTACTGACGAAAGAGATCAGATGCAGTCCACTCGTGGTGTCAAGGGGTTTAGCTTTGAGGATACACGTCTCATGGATGGAAACTGGTTATATGAACCCAATTCAGATGACATTTTGATGTTTCTGCGTATACTGGCGGTTTGTCACACTGCTATTCCCGAGGTGGATGAAGATACTGGAAAGTGTACTTATGAAGCAGAGTCACCTGACGAAGTTGCTTTCCTTGTTGCCGCTGGGGAGTTTGGTTTTGAGTTTGTTAAAAGAACTCAATCAAGTGTGTTTGTCAGTGAACGATTTTCAGGCCAACCAGTTGAAAGGTGAGATCGTAACTGTAAATCTTTCACTTGTTTCCATCGGCCCCAGTGAACATTTATCTAACTACATTTGGAATATTTTACAGAGAATACAAAGTTTTAAATGTTTTGGACTTTACTAGCAAGAGAAAAAGAATGTCTGTTATCGTCCGTGATGAGAAAGGGCAGATTCTTCTACTGTGTAAAGGTGCTGACAGGTTGGCCACATAACTTATAGCACTTCCATATAGCAAATCAGTTCTTCTGAAGTAAAGTTCAATGCTTTCTCTTAAAATTTTGCAGCATAATTTTTGACCGGTTGTCCAAGACTGGTAAAACTTATCTCGACGCCACTTCCAAGCATTTGAATGGATATGGTGAAGCAGGTTTACGCACGTTGGCGCTCAGTTATAGAAAGCTGGATGAGACTGAATATTCGGTATGGAACAGTGAGTTTCACAAAGCCAAAACTTCAGTTGGAGCCGACAGAGATGAAATGCTCGACAAGGTATCTGATATGATGGAGAAGGAATTGATTCTTGTTGGTGCTACTGCAGTGGAAGACAAACTGCAGAAAGGGGTATGCAGTGGGAGTTCATTGGTGTTTATTACCAAGACGTTAAATTTTGAACATCTCTTTCAGCTTAATGTTTATTGTTCGTTTCAGGTGCCTCAATGCATAGATAAACTTGCCCAAGCTGGCCTCAAGATATGGGTTTTGACCGGCGATAAGATGGAGACAGCAATTAACATAGGGTTTGTTGTTATTCTATGCTGCTGTTAGTACCACGGGCCCGAAACTGGGTTTTTTTTATAATTGATACTAAGTGGAGTAAGTTCTTTGTTTTTCCTAATGCAGATATGCCTGCAGTTTACTGCGACAGGGTATGAAGCAGATATACATAGCACTTAAAAATGAAGAGGAAATATCGCAAGACCCCGAAGCTGTATGTTACTATAAAAAAAGCCTACATTACTGTTTCAGTGGAAACTTGCAATTGATGTGAGAACTCGTTTTGTTGTTTTTAATGGCCAGGCTGCGAGAGAGAGCATTTCGATGCAGATAATAAATGCTTCACAGATGATCAAACTAGAGAAAGATCCGCATGCAGCGTTTGCTTTGATCATTGATGGGAAGACACTTACATATGCTTTGGAGGATGATATTAAGTATCAGTTTCTTGCCCTGGCAGTTGACTGCGCTTCAGTGATATGCTGTCGCGTCTCTCCCAAGCAGAAAGCACTTGTAAAATTGTTTCACCACAAGTCCTAATGATATCTTCTTACTGTTGTTGATGGGAATCACTTATTGTTGTTAATCTCGGTTTTCAAGGTAACGCGACTAGCAAAAGAAGGAACAGGAAAGACAACTTTAGCAATTGGTGATGGTGCCAATGATGTTGGAATGATTCAAGAAGCTGATATAGGTGTAGGCATCAGTGGCGTGGAAGGCATGCAGGTTATCAAACAAACTCTCCTCTTTTTTTCATACAACGAAACACATCTATGTTGGTCTGTTTCTGATTGCAAATTCATTGTATTTTTGCAGGCTGTAATGGCGAGCGACTTCTCCATAGCCCAGTTTCGATTTCTGGAGAGACTACTTGTTGTCCATGGGCACTGGTGCTACAAAAGAATAGCCCAGATGGTAACTATCTGCGATTCAAATAACTAATATACAGACGATTGCATCTTTACCTATTAAACAAGATACCAACCTGATCTTGATTTTATATTCTTTTCTGACAGATTTGTTACTTCTTCTACAAGAACATAACATTTGGTCTAACTCTCTTCTACTTCGAGGCTTTCACCGGGTTTTCTGGTCAAGCCATATACAACGACTCCTACTTGTTGCTGTTCAACGTTATTCTCACTTCTCTCCCCGTCATCTCCCTCGGAGTTTTCGAGCAAGACGTGTCTTCAGAAGTTTGCTTACAGGTTTACACCTCTCTGTTCAGTTAAGTCTCTTCAATGTAAACCACAAACCCTTCTTCTAATCTTAAATCTCCCTCTCTTTCTCTAGTTCCCTGCATTGTACCAGCAAGGCCCCAAGAACCTTTTCTTCGACTGGTACAGAATCCTCGGGTGGATGGGAAATGGAGTCTACGCATCTGTAGTCATCTTCAGCCTCAACCTCGGCATCTTCCACGTCCAATCTTTCTGTTCCAATGGCCAAACAGCAGACATGGTGGCAATGGGAACCGCAATGTTCACATGCATCATCTGGGCAGTGAACGTACAGATAGCTTTAACCATGAGCCATTTCACTTGGATCCAACACGCCTTGATCTGGGGAAGTATCTTCACCTGGTACATCTTCCTTGCCCTCTATGGCATTTTACCTCCAAAACTCTCCGGCAACATCTTCCACATACTCGTTGAAATCCTAGCACCTGCACCAATCTTCTGGCTCGCCACACTGCTGGTCATAGCCGCCACAACACTTCCTTACTTGGCTCACATCTCGTTCCAGAGGTCGTTAAACCCTCTGGACCATCACATCATTCAAGAGATCAAGCATTTCAGAATCGACGTGCAGGACGAGCGTATGTGGACGAGAGAGAGATCTAAGGCCAGAGAGAAGACAAAGATTGGTGTCACGGCTCGTGTTGATGCCAAGATCCGCCAGCTGCGAGAGAGGCTTCAGAGGAAACACTCTATTTTGAGCGTTATGAGCGGTATGAGCGGTACGAGTACCTCAGCATCAAGTGATATAACGTCCACCACACATCATAGTTAATTCTTCTCTTTCTCGAGAAATATCCAGATGAGAGAATCGTGATTGAAGAAAGAAACGAGAGAATGTTGTATTTGTGCGAGTTTGTGTGTGTATATTAAATGAAAACCGAAAAAAAAAAAGAACTTGATTAGAGAGATTCTTATAAAATAGTTTCGGATTGTTTTTTGTTTGATGTAATTGAAGTATGGTCATATTCACAGGTAGATATGGAATCGATTTCATTCATTATCTGTCTCATTCAAAGACTATACATCTTTGATATATAATTGCAAGAGAAAAAAAGAAAACTCAATTTTCTGCTTTCTGTATTTTGTTACAGATATTTAACACTCAGCACGACGAGATTCATCGATTGGGGTTTTTACATATATATTATATAAAATTCAGAAAGTCAGGGGAGGATTGTATCAAGAAATACCGATAATGTCTTTGAACCATTTGAAGCTCTTTCTAATGGATCCCTTCATCTTCTGTTCAACGGAGTAAACCTTATAGCCAGCGACTCTTCTCTTCCTCCGCGATTCCGGATCGCTGAAACTCCAGCTTCTAGACGCCGCACGATCCGCGTTTGGAACGCTTTTGCTTTTCTTTATCCTTGTCTGGTAATCGTTCGCCTGATCGGCGGCTGAATCGTCGAAGCTCGCGCTGTAACCTTTCACCGCAGTCGCGTCACGGCGGTTTCCAGACGCGGCGACGGCGGTTGCGGCTGGTGGTTCCATTTCTTTGTAATAGTTCTCCATCGGTGTCTCCGTGATTTGAGTTTTTTTTGGGGTCTGACGAACCAGAGTCGTCTCTGTTTTTTCAATATATTTTGTCTTTAAAAAGTTATATAAAGGGAAATTAACGAAATGATTGTTTATTTTTCAGATAATTAAAGGTGTCTTTTTGGAAATCAATTTACAATGTCATGTTGGAGTTGGTGAAGGACCCACTAATGTTTTTATTTTTTTTTAGCTAACAACACCAAACGTTTGTGCAAATAACTCGCAACATATACAAAGTAGAAAAAAAAACTTAAATACGTAAAACTGGTAAAAATCAGTAGACTATTCATGTTTGTTTTCTATGCTTGCTGTGGTTAGGTTTGTGTGGATGTGATGCTTTCCCAACTATTTCTATTAGGCACGTGTATATGTCCACACCGGGAATTTCTCACAGGAAATAATTGAACAAATAGCTTAAATTCAATTTTTTTTTCAATTAAACGTATTACGTATAAAAATTCATTTCGTTAATCCTCGAAGAAACTTTGCAGAACCTTCAGACCAATAATTTCAACTCGAGCAACCTTTGTCGGTGGTGGGCTTGACTCATACCCAATAATAAACATCAGGCTCAGGAAAATTTTCAGAGAAATAAATTTAGTTATATTCAATAGGGCTAAAATAACAACACTTTTAAAAATACGATCTTGAAATCAAAAGAAGATTCAAGAAGACAGAGGAAAAAGTGTTAAAGTCATTAACCCACAAGAAGTTGGCGCGATCATGCAGTGACACGGATTTAACGTCGTTTACTCGAGCTATGGCCTTATGGCCCAACATTTGTTAAGCCCGTCATGCTACCAAGTTAAGAGCCAAAATATGAAAAAGGTTTTAAAACAAAGATTTCACGAAAAATATTTTTGATTGATACAAATAAAAAGGAGACAACAACAAACCAGACAATATTAAAATAGAGAAGAGATAATAAATACTCCATATGATTTAAAAATAAAAATAAAAATGGTCAGAACAGAGAGAGATGTCCGTAGAGCGGAAGATGTGACAAAGCACCAGAAAATTTAAGGAAGGTAATAATCGCTGATGAAGAAGGAAAGAGAGAGAGAGACGACGGTGTCAAAATCAAATCAAAGAGTGTGCCTTGCGAAACAAGAAAACCTTTCTTCTCCGGTGATAGTACTGACGGCGAATTTCTCCTTCACAGCAGATCGGCAACGTTCGAAGGCAGCTCCTCAACAACCACGTTATAGAACTTCTGAATATCAAACAGCATCCTCTCATCATCACGAGTCACGAAATTGATAGCCACACCTTTCCTCCCGAACCTTCCACTTCTTCCGATACGGTGGAGGTAGTTCTCCGGCTGAGTCGGGAGATCGTAGTTGATAACCAGAGAGACTTGCTGGACATCGATACCACGGGCCAAGAGGTCAGTGGTGATGAGCACACGGGACGAGCCAGACCTGAACTCTCTCATGATGATGTCTCTCGTGTTCTGGTCCATGTCTCCGTGAGTAGCCGAGACGGTGTGGTCACGGCCTCTCATTTTGTCTGTGAGCCAGTCGACCTTTCGCCTAGTGTTGACGAAGATGACACTCTGAGTGATGGCAAGAGTCTCGTAGAGATCGCACAGTGTCTCGAGCTTCCACTCTTCCTTCTCGACATTGACATAGAACTGTTTGATACCTTCAAGGGTGAGCTCGTCACGCTTCACCAAGATTCTCACTGGCTTGCTCATGAACTTCCTTGTGATCTCAAGAGCTTCCGGTGGCATTGTTGCGGAGAAGACACCCACTTGGATCTTTGGTGGGAGAAGCTGGAATATGTCATAGATCTGGAAAAAAACAAAACACACACAACATCAAAAACAAGTTAAGAGACCAGAGTTTAACAGCCATAATCAGAGAATGGGATTTGAAACGCAAGGAAATATCAACAAACCTGGTCCTTGAAACCACGGGAGAGCATTTCATCAGCTTCGTCAAGAACAAACATCTTGATGTTGTCAGCACGGAGAGACTGCCTCTTCAACATGTCGAAGACACGCCCTGGGGTTCCAACAACAACATGGACACCAGCTTGGAGAATGCGCTGATCCTCACGGACACTGGTTCCACCAACACAGGCATGGACCTTGACGCCAAGGTAATCACCAAGGGCCCTCATGACCTTCTCGATCTGCTGAGCAAGCTCTCTAGTTGGAGCAAGAACCAAAGCCTGGCACTGGACAAGGTTGAAGTCTAGCTGCTGCAAGACGCCAGAGCAGAAAGTTGCCGTCTTCCCGGTTCCGGACTGAGCCTGTTGGATCACATCAAGACCTTTGCAAAAGGGGACGATTCCTCTTTGCTGAATAGCAGAAGGCTTCTCAAAACCTATGTAGTACAGACACAGAAGCAAACATGAGGCGAGGTTTCAAAGAGAGAGAGACATTATATCACAAAAAAAGAAAGCTTTCTCAGGTTCTTCAACACGTACCATAAGCATAGATCCCCCTGAGAAGGTTCTCCTGAAGACCCATGACATCAAAGGTCTCATGAACTTCATCATAAGAGGTGAAGAACTCATCTTGTCCCTCAAGTCTGTATCCGAACAACACAATTTAGTATAACACTCGTGTGGAAATAGCAAAGCTCAGGATGAAAAGCGATGAAACAGAATTAAAAGACTCACACTTCGTTCAACTTCTGGTCGAACTGACGTGCATCAAACTGTGTGCCTTCTGGTGCAGATCCTGCCATGACTACAAACACAGAAACAACAACAATTAGCGATAACAGAATCATATCAACAACTAATTGATTTCAAGGGAAAAAGAAAACATCATAGCCAAGGAGGAATGTGACAGAATAGCCAAACTCGAAGTCCATAAAGAGAGGAAAACAAGCATTAATATCTGTCTCCGATGATGTTCGGAGATAACGTTTTAAAAGGTAACATGGTTTATCCAAATATCAATTATAGACACCACTCAACCTTTTACTCCAAAAAGATTAAAAAAGTCTTGAAGGTCAAACATCAAACAAGAAAAAATCTGAGCTTGAAGAGGATCCAATTCTATCGAGAGACAACAGAAACTTGGGTCTTCCAAACCGATCTTACCGGTTAAAAAATCTACAAACCTAAAGGAAAACTTATCACTACTGTTTAAATCCACAAATCTACGGATTTCTCAAGCTGGGTAGATCCTAAATTAAATATTCGTCATCATCAGCTCAAAATCTAATAGAGAGGAAAAACAAAGATTCAAAAATCATGATTAAAACTAAACGCGATCTAAAAGCATCGGCAAATCATAAATCGAAGAAATTTCGAAACTTTCGAGCTATAACTATTAGAAAAAAAATTCTCGAATCAGAACCCAATACAAAGCAAAGACCCAATGATTAATCGGAAAAAAAATACAACAAAAAGTCGCATCGAAAATTACAAGGGAAGGGGAGGTAAAAGATAAATCCGATGCAAACCTGGAGCAAAGTCGAAAGAGATTTGGTAGCTGAAGAAGCGAAAGTAGAGTGCTTTTGTTAACTTAGGGAGCCTGAATCTCCCAAACTCGGATCTAAACCGCGAAGGGAGAGGGAACAAAAAGAGAGAGCGAAGATTGAGGCTTTTTTCGAGAGACTGAGGAAATCGGAAAGAGGCAGAGAGACAAGGCGTTGCTATCTTTATATACTCCTTTTTTTTTTTTTTTTTACATGGGAGTCGTGTTAGGGTTTTCTCGGTAGGAAAAAGGAAATCTTCTCCTATTCTTTTTGGAATTCCGGTTTTACCCTTACTTGGCCTTTCATATTACATTTTTTGGGTCGGACAAGTATTTCCCAAGACCAAAGTTCATGTCTTAAACTAAAATTGTTGAACAACAAAAAAAAAACTAAAATTGTTGAACAAATTTCTGGCAAATTGAAGAGGAAAAAAAAACTAAAAATTATTTATACAGAATAATATCTGGTGGAGAAATTAGGAACAGCTACATATCTTCAGTATTTTGTGACCACAAAAGAAAAAGATTCTTCATTATTATTTTAATTTCTTTTCCAGAGAGATTTCTTTCTCCTGTAACTTTTGATAGCTTTATGACGTGTAACAAAGCAACTTCTTAATTACAAAGAGAGAATATTAGGAGAATACTGAAGTGAATAATAACCAAGTATTATTATCTAAAAGTATCTTTACTAACACATTAATCTCTCTTATGGTAATATTATCATCAGGTAATGGTTCCTACAAATCAAAGGCATTTACAAGTGATAACAAGAATCCTTGAACGCAATTATCATTGAAGGATGATTAGAATGTACAAAAAAAACATGAAAACTTGTTGGAATCACCTGTCCGAATTAGCTAGGAGAACAGCAAATGAAGCAGAACCCAATTGCTATATGATCTCTCGAGCACACATAATGAATTCGTTTCTTTCCCCCCAACTCTGCAGAACGTAAATGCAAATCAAACGAATTTATAGATTTCGAAGACCATTTAGAGTGAACGGGCCAATTCTTAGGCCCATTACTATGAGTTGACTTTTAAAAGCGGCAAATAGTATTGACTAATCTCTGCCGTTCATTAGATGCTCTCACTAACGCACCTGATGATCGCTGTCTTTTGGTAAGGCGCAAAAGCTCAGAGAATAACAGAGAAGTCGAAAAAGAACCCAAAAAATCGATATTGGAGCTGAAATTAAAATCATAAGTCAAAATATCGAATTATCGATCAATCTCGATCTGTGATATTTTGCTAACCCTGAAAGCGAAAGGAAGAAAACCCTAAACGCTCCCCCACCATTTCCATTTTTCCTTCTCATTTTTCATCTAAAAATCCACAGTTGCGAATTTCGGATCGGCTGACGCAGTTCCGATCGCAAACAATGGCTTACGCATCCCGTATCATCAATCATTCCAAGAAGGTTTCTGTTTCTCGATTTTCATTTCCTGTGACTGTGATTGCTACTTTTTTTTTTATCGTTTTTAGATGTTGTCTCTGTAAATGATTGTATGAACTGAGTCTGAATTATAGCTTTTGCCAATCATATGATTTCTGGGTTTTATCCTAATCCAATAGATTGTTTTGATTCATGGGCATTTTTGCATTCGTCATTTAGAGCTTTAGGTAACTCCTTGTAACAGTTGTACGATGGAGCCATTTTTTTTGTATCTTTGAGTTATCTCTGAGAGAGAATTTGTGTTTGATATTAGCATCTCTTCTCTTTATGATTGGCAAATTGTTGTATTAACTGTGTCCATGCTTTGTGGGGAGGTATAGCTACAGAAAGTCTCCACTTTTACGGCAGAGTAATTGTCAGCTGTTCAAATATCAAGTGTTAACGCCACTTAATGGTTGTGTAATTTGACAGTTGAAACATGTCTCCACTTTACTGCGGCGTGAGCATGCTGTGGCAGTCCGCGGTTTCTCCAACGGTACTCAGCCCTCTCTCAATGGACGAGAAGGTAAACGAGTCTCCTCTTCATCTGCTGTTCCTTAGCTCATTTGATGAAGAAAGGCATCCACTTGTTTCGTCATTTCTTTTAGTTATTGCAGTACCCGGGACCGGAATAGTTTCAAAGTTTAGCATTCACATCAAAATCCCATATTTCTGTATCGTGAAGAACATAATTCCGTTCCTTCTTTAAATGCTCATGAAACTGTTACTTTTCTGTTTCGGTCTCCAGATATGTTCAAGATTCGCCTGAATTGTTCCCCGGTAGAGAGAATTTCGAAATGTAGTGCCAGCAATGTAAGTCCCTGCTTTTCAGTTTCCTTTCTCTTCTCATCTATGTCATTAAATCTTGTCTTTTAGCATAATCCTGTTTTTTTCATAGTCGTAATAATGTCATTAACTGCATTATATAGGTACCAATGTCTAGTGGTATTTCAACAATGAGCACAATGACAGGACCAACAATTTTCAGAGGATATATGAGGTAAGTACTCCTCTAAATCCATGTGCCAAAGTGCATACTTCTTGCTGCGTGCCTGGAATAGATACGTTTATCCTAACTGTAATCTTCTTTTGTTGGGTATCAGCTCCCACATGCGATCAGTAAGGGGATTTTCATCCAGTTCAGGTAGTTAGTTCTTCATCCCGAGTTTCTTTTTTTACTCTTACAGCTTCCGGCTTACTGTTATGTACATCTTCTTTGACCTCAATGATAATTTGTGTCGAGGAAATCAGTTTTCTGATTTTAGTTTTGGCAGATCATATTTTATACCATTCTTAGGAAAAAGGTCATGTCTTGTATATGGTAGCTATGTAGCTGGTTAACGACATATGACGAACTTATCACAGAATTTCTATTATAGAAATTTTTTGTACTGCTTAATGATATTGTGTAACTGTGTGCAATTTATTTCTAACTGGAACAACTCGTAGTTGACTTGTTTTTTATTTTTGTCTTTTGAGTTCATCATGTTTCTGTTACTGTGAATATGCATTCATACATGGTCCGTTTTACTAAGAAATTCTAAAATATGTTTCAGATCTTCCTCCTCATCAAGAGATCGGAATGCCTTCTCTTTCGCCAACAATGACTGAGGCATGAACCTCCTTACTAAAATTTACATGGTTAATAATTCTTTTATCTTTCTACTAAAGCTATCTGTCCAAACTTCAGGGTAACATTGCCAGGTGGCTGAAGAAAGAAGGTGATAAAGTCGCTCCTGGTGAAGTGCTTTGTGAAGTTGAAACTGTAATGTTAATTTAGATTGATCTTCTTCTCTCTTTTTACTATCATGCCAGGAATATAACTCACACTAATCTCGAGCTATATATTTTAGGACAAAGCAACCGTCGAAATGGAATGCATGGAAGAGGGTTTTCTCGCCAAGATAGTAAAGGAGGAGGGAGAAAAAGGAATTCAAGTTGGGGAGGTATGAAAATCTCGGGCTTTTGGATACCTGCTTATTATCAAGTAACTGGGAGTTAGAGTTTATTGAATTATGCATTGAAAGTGGCAAATATCTTCATTGTCATTTGTAGAGTCATATATAAACCGCCCTGTGTCTTTGTTCGACTAGGTGATTGCTATCACAGTTGAAGAGGAAGAAGATATTCAAAAGTTTAAAGATTACAAGCCAAGCTCATCTGACAGTGGTCCCGCTGCTCCTGAAGAAAAGGCTGCTCCTGAAGCAAAAGCTGCTCCTCCCCCACCAAAGGAAGAGAAGGTCGAGAAGCCAGCCAGTACTCCTGAAGCCAAGACTTCCAAGCCAAGCTCGGCTCCATCTGAAGATCGTATTTTTGCTAGCCCTCTTGCAAAAAAGTTGGCTGAAGATAATAGTGTTAGTTTCCAAAAACAGTACTACTAAGTCTCTTTTGGTTAATCTCCATGCTCTTATTTACCTCCTACTTTTCCCTCAAAAACATTAGGTACCTCTGTCAAGCATCAAAGCCACTGGTCCTGAAGGACGGATAGTGAAGGCTGATGTAGAAGAGTTCTTAGGTAACATAACTCCTTGTCTCTTCCGTCTCCATACATCTTCCTCCCGGCCTTTCTTGTCTTTATTAACAGCATTTACACGATCCCTGTGTCCTAATACATATTCCTATGGTACAGCTTCACGCGGTAAAGAAACTACTGCCAAGCCTTCCAAGGTCACCGATTCGAAGGGTCCAGCTTTGGACTATGTTGATATCCCTCACACTCAGATACGAAAGGCAACTACCTATACAACCTTATATCTTGATTGCCTGTGGGATTTCTAGATTACATCAACCCTAAATCCCTCTGTTTTGTACTATAATCCAAAATTTCCCCTGTTCAAGGATGCTAAAATCTGATTCTTGTATGATTTTGACAGGTCACAGCCTCACGTTTGGCATTCTCAAAGCAAACTATTCCTCACTACTACTTGACCGTGGATACATGTGTTGACAAAATGATGAGGTTCGTATTACGTTTCAGATGATTTATTTTGATTCGGTCAATCGAGGCTAGACATAGCTGTTTTTGTATGCAGTCTTAGGAGTCAACTGAATTCATTTCAAGAGTCTTCCGGCGGGAAACGGATATCTGTAAATGATCTTGTTATTAAGGTACGTTGTACTTCTGTTTCTGAAAAGCAAACCAAATCTAATCTCCTTCTCTGTCCCCCGTTGTGAATTTTTTTTTTTTTTTGAAATTGCAGGCTGCTGCATTGGCTCTGCGGAAAGTTCCTCAGTGCAATAGTTCATGGACAGACGAATACATTCGCCAGTAAGTGTATTTGCTGCTTCAGAGGTTCATGAAAACTTTTGCAAATCATCTAATTTATTGGTTCTTTTTTCCATTTCCTCTTCATGTGCAGATTTAGCAATGTGAACATCAACGTCGCAGTACAAACAGAAAACGGGCTTTACGTTCCTGTTGTCAAGGTGCGAGAGCACTCAATACAGTTACTAAACCTTCGTCTGCAGAAACTTCAGATTTCTTAAGAACTGACTTCACACCAAATTACGTAATTTCAGGACGCGGACAAGAAAGGATTGTCCACAATTGGAGAAGAGGTTCGATTCTTGGCTCAGAAAGCTAAAGAAAACAGCTTGAAGCCTGAAGATTATGAGGTTAGATTAGAATCCGGTCACTGCTCACTAAAAATGTTTCTCGGAAAGCAAATCAGCTCAAAACTGTTTCTTTTGAGTTTTGACAGGGAGGAACATTCACAGTCTCCAACTTGGGAGGACCCTTTGGCATCAAACAATTCTGTGCAGTAATCAATCCACCTCAAGCCGCCATTCTAGCAATTGGATCAGGTAAAGCCCTACTCACACGCACACATACTCCATCCATTGAAGTTTATTTTCCCGCAACTGATTGTATTGTTCTTCTCTGAACCTCTATGCAGCTGAAAAGAGAGTTGTTGCTGGTAGTGCCCCTGACCAGTTCAACGTCGCTTCTTACATGTCTGTAACACTTAGCTGCGACCACCGCGTAATAGATGGTACACATTTTAAACTGCATTCCTATGCTACTATCATCATCATCTCATGGGAAACGTCTAATATTGAAGTCGTCGTCCTTGTGCAGGTGCGATTGGAGCTGAATGGTTGAAAGCATTCAAGGGCTACATCGAGACCCCAGAATCTATGTTGCTCTAAACTCCACCCACACACACACACACACGCATCAAAAGCTAAGCCAGGTGTCTGACATTAAATTTATCTGGTTCTGACAGTTTCTACTCCCTTTAGCCCTGGGCATGCCTTTGAAAGTTGCTTGTTTTGCTATTCATTACATTGAGTTGACAGATTTTTGTCTCAAAATAAAAGCAGGAATCCTCCAACAATTTTAAAAGAGTGTTTCTTCTTACGATTTGATATTTTGAGTTACAGAAGCCGTTTCTCTTGCAATATTTAAAAAAAAAAAGTTGACAATTGATTGAAAGAGAAGGTAATCGATCTTTAGAACACACAAACATAACAAAGCTAATGACCTTCCTTTACCCAAGCAAAAATGGCGTCAAGTTACTTTATGGTAGGAATGGTAAAAGACCTCCAAAGTCATCATCATATAGGTAGTCATTAAACAAAAGAAACATAAATAAAAAATCACATCTTTGAGAGCAAAAATGGGTAAATAGAACAACTTTTCGCCTTGTGACTCTCTCCAATCTATCGTCTTTTCCTCCGCATACTCGTCTCCGGGAACTTGAGAGGGACCGGTAAGGTCGCCAGAAAAATTTTCTTCTCGCGCGCGAATTTGCATCCAAGGGCATCAAAATGCCTCCTTAGACCGACCGGGCTAATCCTCAGATCCGCAGCTATGTCTTCTGGGTCGGTCTTGAACTTATCCACGTGAAGGGAGAGCACAAGAACGTAGCTTATCAGAAGGTTGATCTTATCAGCAGGCATCCTGTCTGCGTCCGAATCCTTGAACAAGCTCTTACATTTCTGTCGGATGATTGCCGGAAACTTGTGGTTTTTGGCAGAATCGAAGCCATCCATCGAATTTATGTCCTTGAACTTAACCAGATGGGTTAGTAACGATAACACACAAGAAACCGTCTGCTTCTCGGTTTCGTCCTGCAAATAGACCCCCAAAAAGTGAAATCATTTTCATAAAGAAACTGGAGCTGTAAACGAAGCTACGACGATCAAATTAACTTTTTAAAAGTTCGGAATCTCTAGGATCAAATAGTGCAAGCCAAGTCGATATTCAATTGTTACCATGTTCATATGCATACTTTCTAGATAAAGAGGATCAAAACGTTACCCTGATATCCCGCAACATGTGCAACCTGTTGCGGACAAATACAGGATATGCATCGGTTGGTGCTCCAGCTTGAAGCTTATAAACATCTTGAAGGAAGTCCCACTCTCCATTATCGATGATCTTTTCTATAGGATAAGCATCTCCTGGAGTCGTCGCAGAGGCATTATGAGGAGGAATGTTGCGTGCAACAATAGCACTTGTGCTTTCGAGAGCAGTCGCGTTAACATCAATCTTGTCAAGTCTACCGTCAAGGGCCTCAGCACCATCTCCAAGATTTCTCGCACGCCTCTTCTTCTCCTGTACTCAAGACCAAAAACATTTGCAGCTTTACATATGCAAAAATGTTAAAGTTAACGCATTTGGAAAAAAAAGATGTAAAGTTAAAGAGTGGGCATACATCGTTAATAGCTTTCTTTGTACCAAAACTCTTGTTAAGTTCTTCTCGTTGTTCATCTTCGTTAAGTTCCTGTGGTATGACCTCACTTTCCGAAGCTTCTGATTCGAATTTCTTAACTCTTGGCTCCAATCTGTATATCTGCCAAGCAAACAAAACCCACAAAGTTTCTTATAAACACGAACCAAATTCAAATTCTCCATCATCATCATTTCGAATCAATAGATTAAGCAACCAGGTCACAGAAGAATTTTTACGAGTTTCAAACCTTATTGTAAGCAATCGGAAGAATCTTCAATGTTTGAGTCTCTTTATCCAGAACGCCCAGTGAATAGACACAAGTCTGCCTCGCCGTTTGCTCGCCGGTGTAATTCGAGCCCACGAACTCCACGCTTGAGCCAGGCGGGCTTACCACTACCTGAAGCCTCCTCTTCGACTTCTCCGTATGCCTGTAAACCGTAACCTCCGGAGATTTTCCGCCGGCGGATTGCGCAGAAGGATCGTATCCTGAAGCGAAATAAGCGACAACCGGAGGGATTCTATCGGGCTTCTCGGAGATTTGATTAACACTGATGTCTATTGTTGCGTCTTCGTCGTGATCCCCTTTTTCGATTGCTATCTTCTTCGTCTTCTGTCTCTTCTTCTCTGGAACTGGCGTCTTGAAGCCGTCTTCCTCATCCATATGGTCGTTCTGGTTTTCGTCCGCCATGGTCGAGGAGCAGGATTCTCAGTCGGTCTAGCGAAACTTCCAACGATGTAGTACAAGAGACTTGAACCGCTAAACCCTAATTTGGTCGAGGGTTTGTTTGAGAAAATTGCAAAACAAACCCTTATATTTTGGAAGACTTATTAAAAATCCTCACCTAGTTCTGTAATTACATCAAACTTTAATCTGTCAAAATAGATCACCGCCGTTATAACGACGTCTACGGTATGACTTTTTTTCTGAAATAAAAACAACGCGTAGTTCAGAAACAACAAAACTACACGCTGTGTGTGAAGATTTTTCGATTTCCTATACGTTTTAAGGCCGTAGGCAAAAATATATATTTTTTTTTTATGGCAAATAGAATATATACAAATATAGATAAAAATAACTAACAAATGTGTTGTATTGGTAAATAAAAGAAAACTAACAAAAATGTTGGTAAAAAAAAGTACGTACAAAATCAATAATATCGAATCGATTTATCATTATTGATGATGCAAATTGAGAATATTTTTCTGGAATTCACTCTATACTAACAAACTTAAACGTATAATATTTATCTTGAAAGTTATGATGGATTGAGCTTTTTGATTTCATGAAAAAAATATTTACTGTCTATTTATGGAAGTACCACATAAACATAATTGCAGTTATAGCTTACGAAAATTTTGTATAAATTTTTAGACGTAGGCAAAAGTTTCTTTTGTTTCCATGTAGGCACGGCCTGGTCAAACAAAAATGCCAAAATGAATTTATATCTTTCGATTTACATGATCTAAGAGTCTAACACCACTTTTTTCTTATTTGACAAACGGATTCTAACTCGTTTTACCAAAAGTGTAATTTTTTTTACTTGGAGGTCCACAACACCATTTTCTCAATTTATAAACGCATAGACTAATATATAACCTGAAATATTGAATGTTCAATGAAACTATATAAGTTACGTGTTTGACAAAGAAAAAAAGGTCTGCATTACCATTCCACTGTTCCCAAATTGACGGATGCTCTACTTTTTGTATGTTACGAGTGATTAAAATTTATCAAAGTACCTCTAAACTCTCCAATACACCAAACCCATATTCTATATGCAAAGCCATTCATCACCGTAGTGAAGCATTAGAGAGATGTAATAGTAAAGTAAAGGACGTTGACAAATAGAAGCATATTCAAAGTCATATTTGATGGTGTACGACTAGTAGATAATTCTTTCTAAACCTCAAAACCTAGAACACTCTGTTCACAAACAGACAAGTATATATCCAACAACGCTTCTTCCCTTATGTCAACATCGTTGACTCGATCAAAACCAAATTGTCAAATAAATATATCTTTAATCCCCTGATCAAACATTTTAATTTTAAATAAAGACTTTTGTTGATCAGAGCAGAACTTTCTATCTCCTTTCCTAAAAACACAAATCTCATTCATTTTTTTTTTCTATATAATCTCGACAAAAAGAAAAGTTACAATATACAAACTGAAAAACAGATATTGTTTTGCGAGATCCATAGCACTGAATCATGGATGTCAACGGTCGAGAAGATCAATACGAAGAATCATCGGAGTGGTTTGTGAAATATTTGAATCGTCAAGGTGATTGGTTAGAAAAGACGAGAGGGAATCTAATGGTTGCAGCGACAGTTATAGCTGGTATGAGTTTTCAGGTTATGGTTAGTCCTCCCGGTGGCGTATGGCAGAGTGACAACTGTCCATCCGGAAATCAAGATTGTAAAGCAAAAGCTGGAACTTCGGTCTTAGAGCACGTGAGTTCGAAGCGTGTCCTTTATCTTGGAATGGTTATTAGCAGTGCGGTTTCGTTTTCTGCTTCCATGAGCCTCATTCTACTTGTCATCAGCGGTTTACGACTCAGGTAATGGTACTACTGTAGTTGAATCATATCAACGTCGTCATAAGTACGTGTACATAACTTAATAATATGATTATGTAAATTGACAGATGGACGAGATTAGGTTGTTGATTTTTATTTGACTAGAATATAATATATAGTATGATTCTATCGGTCCAATAGTTGATTTAAGATTAATTCAACAAAACCGGTCTGATTAGTAAAAACGAAAAATGTAGATTGACTCAAGGACGTCTAGGATAAATCGATTTTATATAGCTAACTATTGTTTATCCCGAAACACATAAATTTTGAGTAAGAACTGTTTGGTTTAAAGGTGAAAACAAAAATTAAAAAATCTGATGCTATAACTTGTTATGTAGAAACCGGATGATAATGGCGATTCTGGTAACATTTATGGTAGCAGCGGTTCTTTGCATATCGGCTGCGTTTTTCTTTGCCGTTGCATTGGTTCAGTCTGACGATCAAATAATCATCTATATACTAGTGATTTATTTGGGATTTTGGATCGTGTTTCCTGTCTTGATACTCGTAAGCCAACTAGTTCGGTTTTTGGGTTGGCTTATTTGTTTCATATGTTGTTGTTGTCCACGTCGACGACGACGGTCCCCTCCACGATTGCTGCCATTGGCTCCATCTCCTGCCCTTTAACGAAGGGGAAGAACCGGTGGCTCGAACCAACGCGTAAATGAATCATGGTGTTAATTATTAAACGGTTTTAAGGTTGATCACTCGATTGATCAGTTTGATTGTATGGGGTTTGGATTTTCTATACGAATCATGGCAAAATCATCTTGTGATTAGTGTAGCGATTTAGTAAATGAATCATTATTTACCATTAGTGTAAAAGCGTTTTCTAAATAAATCTTTATAGTCTAAAAGTCCAAGCTAAGCTCTAGGAAAGAAACTAATAATATCCGGTTAACAAAGAAAACAAAACACGGAAGAAAATGAAAACAACAACTCTATCGACATTCTTTCACTAATAAGAACGGCTTACAAAACATGATAAGCATTTCGCTGTGAGAAAGATTAATAATATCATTCGATCCAAAAGAAAAATGACTAATAATATCCGGAACACAAAAATAATTTATTATAACATATAAATACAACCCTGTCTTATAATGGTAAATCGTTGATATTTATGTGATTGGATAGATCAAAAGACTTGACCAAGGAAAAGAAAAGGATAGATCAACAGTATGTTATATTCCATTTTTAAAATATGCAGAAGTAAATAACTTGTAAGAAACCTAGAGGCCTGAAAACAAAGTTAGGATATAATAGTTTTTACATGTCAATATGTTACGAAATTGAAAAATAGAAAATGGAGAAAAGTGAGTCAAAGGGAGAGAAGGAGGTAGGACTCATGCCCTATAATATCTGCCTTACCCACCCCCTCATCTATATATATGTATCACATCTATAAATCTTCAGTTTCATTTTAGTTTCTTAATTAAAAAACAAAACATAATAAAAACAAAGTGAGAAGGAAAAAAGAAGATGAAAAGATGATGCATATGAATGACTAAAATGGAAACATGTGCTTTAAAATGGAAATATCCCTTAGTCCAAAGGTCTTTCCGACTTCTTCCTCTACCTTGTTAACCTCATGATCATCGTTTTGACCAGCCCCCTCAAGAGCTCTCTACATGTTTAGATAATATCTTACATCTCTACATTTATACATACATGCCAGAGTCCATTTTCAATACATGTTTGGTAAAACAACAACAACATTGGTATAAACTGTTAACTTATATGTCTTGGTTCAGTCACAATAATAAGTAAATTATACCAAAATAAATTTTCTTGAATAATGTTTAGTATGTATGATGGTTTATTGGTAAATCCATTGAATGATAAACTTGTTATATGATTGTATACTAATTACAAAAACCTGCAATCGTGAAAATAGTTTTAAGGATTCCGCCAATTCATAAAAGGAACACCAATAAATAAATTTAACTTCATCGTTCAAAATTTTGCTGTAATGAATTACTTTTTCTCCTTAATGATTATACCATTAAGTTTCACAAATTGAATGTTGAATTATGTATGTACTTGTGTATGTATACATGTATGCATGGAATGGTAGATTGTAGGTGTGTAAGAAGAAAGATCTAGGGGGCTTCAAAAAAAGGAGAGAAAAGGACAGAGCATGTGAAAAGAGACAGAGATACAAACAGAGTAGTGAACAGTCTTACTCTTTTTTATTTTTCATTTCTCTGCACTTAATGAACCCAACCCTCTCTGTATATTTTCTGATTCTTCACATGCCTTTCTCTTCTTTGTTATTCCCCTTTTTTTTTTTTAACTCTTTAAATTTCTATAAAACTGAAGCCGAAAGAAAATATTTAATAAAAACGACAAAATATCTAGCATTTTAAAAAAAAAGACAAAAGTACTTTCACTTCACTTGCAACCAAACAAACCTAGTCCCCTTCTTTATCCAATGGTCTCTTCCCTGCTCTCTATTTCCCATCTAAACACCCTTTTCCTTCTTCCTTATTTACCATTTTACCACCTTATGAAATGAAACCACATTCCTATATTTCACAAAGTGCAAACCAAAACGTTGACAAGAAAATGTGAAAATTGTAAAATATAATCTTATAGTACTATTTTTTTTTTTGAAGTAAGCCAGCAGAATGTAAATATTTATCTTTATTTAAAAAGTTTGGTTCTTTCTTCCCGAGTCAGAGATTTGTGCAGTGATACAAGAAGCTCATTCCGAATTCTATAAATAAATACTCATCAATTCTTTGTTCAACACATCTATCAGTTGTTTTCATCTATCTGATTTTCTACTGTCTTACACAGTAAGATCAGGGCTCACTATATGTAATAAAATAAAGATGAGCTCAGTGAAAAGGAAATGGCACTCATTTTTAGGCCATAAAGTGTTGGGATACAGCTGAAATATAAAAAAAGGGGGCATCTGCTCAAAGGAGAAAATAGATTCCCAAAAATCAATGCACTTTTTTTTTTCTTAAAACAAATTTTATATATTAATTTCAAAAAAAAGGGAGCTATATTGAAGAAGATTGAGAAGAGAGGGAAGAGTAGTCAGAGAGACAGGAGCATCAAGTGCTGCAGAAGAAGCAACAGGAACACTGGGCCTGAGTCTCTTCAGATTTGCCAGTCTTTATAGGACCACACTCTTCTTCATTTCCTTACATTTTATCTATTTTAACATTTACAATATTGGATATTTTAATGTTGTTTTGATTTTACACTACATGGCAAAACTCCTTAAAAGCTCTTGTCCTCTTTTGATATACTATATTTTTATATATATATTGGTTTTATTCGACACAGTTTAATGTTTATCTATCCTCTCTTAATTTTTTTGATGAATGTTTTGTGATTTGATTTCTGTTGAACAAGAACTAATTATTAACATTTATAAAATCATGTTTTCATTTTGACTAATACTCATCCAAAAAATCATATTTTTAATAGTTTCATAATAGTGTGAGTAATAAATGTATAGTCACACAATTATATTCTACGCTTCTATCTCTGTTCTGTAATAACTTTATCTTCCCTAGATACAAAATATTGAGTATATATATAAAAGAGGGAATGGCCTCGTGAAGAGGAAGAAGCTAGCTAGTGTTCATGCAAATTGCATCTGAGGAATATATGCTTAGAGAGAGAGAGAGAGAGATCAAACCAGAAGAAAAAAAGTGACAGAGAAAGTAGGTTTCTTTGTCTGTCTCTGTCCTAAACTCAGGAACCCTAATATCTGAGTCTATCAAGAAAGCTCCTAGTTTTTTCTTTTATGCTCTTTTGATTCTTCTGCATAACCCTTTGAGGAAAGCTAGAGAAGAAGAAAGATGATGAGCCTAAGTGGAAGTAGTGGGAGAACAATAGAGAGGCCTCCATTTACACCAACACAATGGCAAGAACTGGAGCATCAAGCCCTAATCTACAAATACATGGTCTCTGGTGTTCCTGTACCACCTGAGCTCATCTTCTCCATCAGAAGAAGCTTGGACTCTTCCTTGGTCTCTAGACTCCTCCCTCACCAATCCCGTAAGCCCTAATCTTAATGATTATTTTCATACTTTGTTGATTTCTTTCTTTCTTTCCTTTGCATAAAGTTTCAGTCTTTTGTTGATTCTCATGCCTCTTAAAGTTTGCAGCTTTATGTGTTTAAATTTCTGTCTAAAGTCTCCAACTTTTTCTTCTTAATTAAGACCACTTTAACAAACTCAGAGTCCACAGTCTTCTGATGATTTTAGATAACTGAAGGTCTTAATTACTGTAATTAGGGTTTTAACAGCAAACATCATGATTAACCTAAGCGTTTTGTTTAATTAAATGATGCAGTTGGGTGGGGCTGTTACCAGATGGGATTTGGGAGAAAGCCAGATCCAGAACCAGGAAGATGCAGAAGAACAGATGGTAAGAAATGGAGATGCTCAAGAGAAGCATACCCAGATTCAAAGTACTGTGAAAAACACATGCACAGAGGAAGAAACCGTGCCAGGAAAACTCTAGATCAGAATCAGACAAGTGCTCCTTTAACATCACCATCTCTCTCTTTCCCAAACAACAACAACCCAAGCCCCACCTTGTCTTCCTCCTCTTCTTCCTCTACTTATTCTGCTTCCTCTTCATCTCCTTCGATGGATGCTTACAGTAGCAGCAATAGGTTTGGTGTTGGTAGCAGTAGCAGTACTAGAGGTTACTTCAACAACCATTCCCTTGATTATCCTTATCCTTCTTCGTCACCTAAACAGCAACAGCAACAACAAGCTCTTCATCATGCTTCTGCTTTGTCACTTCATCAAAACAGTTCCACTTCTCAGTTCAATGTCTTAGCCTCTCCAACTGACCACAAAGACTTCAGGTTATGTATATGTCTTGTCTTTTATTTTCTCTTGTTTCATGGAGTCATGAAAAACTAATGAGGAATTCTCTTTGAATTGTGATTTCAGATATTTTCAAGGGATTGGGGAGAGAGTCGGAGTTGGGGAGAGAACTTTTTTTCCAGAAGCTTCGAGAAGCTTTCAAGATTCTCCATACCATCACCAACAACCGTTAGCAACAGTGATGAATGATCCGTACCACTGTAGTACTGATCATAAGGTTGATCATCATCACGCATACTCATCCTCATCATCATCTCAACATCATCATGATCAAGAAGATCATCATCATCGACAACAGCAGCAGCAACAATGTTTCGTTTTGGGCGCCGACATGTTCAACAAACCCACAAGAACTGTCCTCGGGAACACATCGAGACAAGATCACCGAAATCAAGAAGAGGAGGAGAAAGATTCGTCGAAGAAGTCTCTTCATCATTTCTTTGGTGAGGACTGGGCACAGAACAAGAACAGTTCAGATTCTTGGCTTGACCTTTCTTCCCACTCAAGACTCGACACTGGTAATATGCTAAATTACTAATAGATCATAACATAGTTTAATTTTTTTGTGTGGATATATTGTAACATAATTGTTATTTAATATCTCAGGTAGTTGATTAAGGCCAGGTAGAATCAATGATGGATCTGCGCCAACACACACAAGTTTGAAATGTTGAAGGGTCACATTTCACATCTATTTCCGTGGAACATTGAGACAAGACACTGTTTGCAGAAACCTATATGTATACATTTATGTATCTCTCTCTCTATGTGTGTGTTAGGTCCAACAAGAAAAGTGTTCCGACATATATTTGTGTGTGTTTCTCCGGCTACTATTTTCTTCCAAGCTATCGTTTTTTATTTCACTGTAGCTGAAAGCAACAAAAGAAACATGACTGTTGTTGTGAGGGGTAATTGATTTGTTTCTTAGGATGCAAGCATCTATAAAACTGCTAACTAATCTTGCATACGGATCTAGCTATTCAACACATCAATCTTAATTTTTATCTTTTCCAAGGCCAGATTTTTTATATGCGATTACATGTAAAAAGTATGGGAATGTTGAATGCAAAAGGGATTCTCATGGGCTAATTTGAAGTAATTCCAATTCTAGATAAGATGAGATTAAGATTAACATTGGCTGTGGCGATTATCAAAGTAAAAGCAGACGCAATGCAGCAATCGTTTTCTAAAAATTACTGTACATTGAGATTATGGGCAGGTGAAATAACATTTATAGACTCAAATCTTTGAACAACGCATTTACAAAACGAGAGAACGATGAGAACCTAACATAGTAGTGAGTAGTAACAAATTAAAATATTCAACATAAAAGCATTATAGATTTTGTCGTTTATTAGAAAAGCAAAAAATCATATACAACTTTTGGTGTATGCTTCCTTGATCCATGCATGTGCTTCTTTAGCATAAGGAACAAGGGAGAGTTAAAAAGACTCACATCATGACTCTTGATCCATTAAGTATATACATCTTTTACGTGCGTATGATTACTTCGAATCATTTCCAACATTATATAGTAGTATTTAATATATGTATTCTGAGAATTTAAAAGGCATGTTGCCAACGAAGATTCTGTGAGCGGAATCTGGTCCAGATCAAAAACCCAGCTCATCTTTGGTCACTCATACCAAGCAATAGCGCGTCTTAAACACTTGCATTAGGAGATGGAGGGAACAAGAACACTTGCGAGCATTCATTCATTCTTGAACCATGTGAAACTATATCTTAACCAGACCGGTTTGCATAAACCGAGAACCTCGTCATGAATGTTTCAGAACAGCAGAAATTTTCCAGCTCATATTAACTACTGTGTCTACTGATATCGGTGACGGTGGTAGTCCCCAGCTCTTCAAATACGGTAAACCACCGGTTCTAACATCTAACCAAACCAGAGACCGGTTATGAATTCCAATCATCATACGAATCTTTCAACAAATGTGCATAAGAAGTTGCGCAGTACAACAGATTTAAATCAACAAAAATTTTACAGATAAAACACGAAAGATTCGACATTTTCTGGTTCCAAGAGCTATCAAACACGAAAGACTCGACATTTTCTGGTTCCAAGAGCTATCAGTTACAGTCTTAGCGGTTCCTATCTAATAATGTCTCAACCGTCAAAATCATACCTGAGAGAATTGACAAAAAGCAAAACATTGATAAAGAAACTTGATCTTTCTATCTTGATTCTCACTATACATCACACAAACAAACCGAGATATAGCACAATATGTGAAAAACAGGGGATTTGTGTACAACCCTGAATCATTTCGAGAATGTAACAAGAAATATTAAGAAACACAACACACATTTGCGAACTCACAAAATGAAATTAGATATCGTTTTCCTTTTTTTTTTTTTGTGGAACATCTCACAGAATCCCTAAAACAATTTTACATGACTTGAGCCACTCTTTCTTCTCTCGACCTCACTGTTTCACTCTAGTTAGCATCGTTAGGCATGTAAATGAAAAACTACACGACCTTAAAAGAACAAAAGAATTCAGACTCAAACTTGAATACAAAGAAAAAAAAGAGAGGAAGTTGTCAAATCCAGAATTTACCCATTTACAGAGGAAAAAAAGGCTGATGAAGTCTTCTTGATCCAAATCATTGATCAACTGAAATTCCTTTTTGATGATTTTAATCCTCTTTCTTGCTCGCCTCTATAAAGTGTTTCCCGGTGATTGAAAATTCAATAAATTTATCTCCAAATCAGTAAGTGTGTGTCATCCTTAGAAGCTGCTTTCTCTTGATAACCAAGAAGGCAACAACGCAAATCTGCAACATTGCTGCAAACCCGGCAAATACCAGACCCACCGTTTTCCCAGTGTTTAATCCGCTTTTCTCCGTCTGCTTGAAGATCCGCGGCGGAGGAGGAGGCGGCGGAGATGGCGGCCGTAGCCGCCGTGGTTGATTTCTATTCGAGGGTGGAGGAGAAGCTTGAGCACGCGGATGGGGAGGGGATAACTGCTTCGGCGGTGGTGGCGAATGTGGAGAAGGAGGAGGAGGAGGAGGCGGCGGTGGCGGAGGTGATGGGGATGGTGGCGGCGGAGAAGTAGGACGAGTCAAAATGTCAACGCTGTCTAGAGGCGGAGGAGGCGAATTGACCTGAGGAATCGGTGAAGGAGGTGGCGTATTGACCTGAGGAGTCGGTGGAGGAGGTGGCGTATTGCCTGAATCGACGAAAAACGGCGGCGGCGGCGGGGAGAGAGTCTCGACCGGTGGCGACGGAGGAGGAGGAAACTGAGGCTGGCGTTGCTCTTGTTGTGATTGGACAAGGAGGAAGCCATGGAAGCTGAGAATCATGCCGAGAAGCAAAACATTCAAGGTTGAATATCTGAGAAGGAAATTCAAAAAACCCATCTATCACCAGATTGACGAAGAAACTCGATCCAGACGGAAGATGAAAACAAACGGCTTATTCCGTTCTTCGTCAGCGCATAGTGGAATCGGCGTCGTCCGATTGTAGCATATGAGAGAATTCGGCTGAACTATAGAAAAAAGGATCTGGTCAACGAAGGAAGGAGACGACGACGACAACGTTTGATCGGGAGAGAAATCGAGGAAAGAGGTATCCGTTCCTCTCTCTCCCTATTTCCAGATTTCCGATATCGAGCCCCCCAAAAACCTTGAACAAAAAACACAGATGGAGTCGAGAAGAAGCAAGAATCAAAGGAATCCAGAATCTGAGGGAGGAAGAAAGCAACTGAGGAGATTAATGTTCGGTTTCTAATTTCCCCCAGCTAGTAGATTGACGAATCGAATTCGGAGAGGGGTCAGAGAATTTCCGGAGACGATGAGAGAATAAGAACATTGACCATAGAAAGCAACCAGACTTGGGTAAATTTTCCGGGAAAATGCAGAGAGAGAGAGAGAGAGAAGTAACGGCTTAGGGCTAAATCTGGGGGGCGAGATCAAGGAGAAATTTTGGGAAACGTAGATATAGATTTCGATTTTACAAGCTGTAATAACTCCTTTTTTGGGGTTTTTGTTTTGGTTTTGTTCTAAGGGATACAGATAAAAACCACGTAACTTTTTTTATTAGTTTTTTTTTTTTTTTTTAATTGGGAGGGAGAGAGGAAGAGAAAAAAAGTTGCCTGTTCCGTTGTGAAAAAACTGCGGATCCAATGCCAATCGCCATCATCATCCACCATCGTGGCATCATCACACATCTCCTTCGATCTCATAGGCTCGTTCATGGGCTTAGGGCCATATAACTATTGTTTTTGCAGCCCATATTTCCCATTAACACATCTCCTTCGACCTCATAGGCTCGTTCATGGGCTTAGGCCCATGTAACTATTGTTTTTGCAGCCCATATTTCCCATTACTCCTTTTCAGTTGGTTTTTGAGTAGTCCGATATCGGTTTAATATGGTTTTTGTTTTTGCGTATTTTCATAAACGAACAAATGATCAATCAATTTGGACTTGTACATTACCTAGTTGGATTATATGAAATAATCACACACAAAAATGCTGCGTATGATCCACTTTGTAAGCGTATTCTAAGTAAAAAGAGACGAAGAGAGACGTTCCTATGAATGTACAACAAGATTCCATCTACACTTGCATTCTCGTAGCAAACAAAGTAGCAGCATGCCAGTTCCATGAATTGGGACATGATAGTCAGAGCTTGATAATGGTGAAAATCGTTGGTTTTTAGCCCCATGCCATGGAACAAGCATAGTTGACCACCAGTTTACCATCAATCCCAAAGTTCTGCAATTACCAAAAACCACCACAATCGTAAGCGATGTTGATATATTACAATAGTAAACACAAAACGTTTTCTTTTAGAAAAAAAGCAGTGCAAAGAGAAGAAGGACCACGAAAGATTCTCAAGTGCAGGGTTAAAGAACAGCTCTCAGAAGCATAGTACCAAATACAAACTATATTGAACCAGTGGAAAAAGGAAAATACTTACATTGTAGAGATCAATTACTGATTCATCCGGGTTTGGCGAGAAAGCGCTGTTTACATAGACAAACTTACAGTGAAGAGATATCAGTGAAAAACATTCAAACGTATGAATCAAATGATAACAGAAAAGGTGGAAAATGTTGATTGATTGATCACCAATGAGTCGGAGTGAAGCTGCCGTCCTAGAAAGTCAATCACTTTGGCAAACTTGTCAGTCCCTGAAATCTGAAGACACACCAGCACAGAGTCATATAACTCTTATCTCAACGTATAACATTCTCAACAAGAAGGATCATCAAAAACATTACGAAGCTAATGATGCAGCATCATCAGGGATATGAATCCGCAAGACAATGCAAAACGACATTCCTATCAAACAACACAAACCCAGCATCATTTCTTCCTTTGTTGGTATCAACTAAAAATCTCAGCATCAGTTAAAAAAGCTGGAAAATTGTTTATAATCTAAGATCCTTAACACAAATTATCCAACCGAAGATTTGCAATGTTCTATGAACCCTCATCTCATCTCAACTCAGATTAGAACTTGATAACTGGCCAAGGAAGGAAAGATTGATATACCCAAAGAAGCTACCTTGAATTTAGATTGTTTCAGAATTGGAGCACCTCCGGTAGCTCTTAGATGAACAACAACTGTCACCAAAATAAGAAAAAGGAACAAAAACGATCAAAATCGGAGAACATCACAATTTTTCCTCAGATTAAAAACCATATTTAGTGTATACGAAGGTGGATTGAGTATACAAGCTGGTAACCAAATACAAGATATATCTTCGACGAATCAATGACTCACTTTTCCGAACGGAACTCGGAGATTCGGTCGCCATTGTTGGGATTTTTGTTCGACAGAGAAGCAGAAGGAAATTTTAGAACGACATGCGTAACTGCGTTTTCTTTTCCTTTGCGATATTTCAAGATCAAATTGGGCTTACATTGTTTTGGATATTTTAGCCCAACCTAGTTTGAAACCCATCTTATTATATCGCGTTTTAGGTGAGAAATTGGTAAAACAAAAATAAAAAAATACTCGAAGCCAATAAAACATCATTTACCATCATCTATCAACTATCAAATACGGATTTTTAAAATTTCCATACTTTTTACATCCGTCAATTTTTAAAAAGTTTTCTTCACCCAGAAAAACACTTTCAGTTTTAGATTGATCTTATTCTTTATTTTATAGAGTGGTCTAATAAATGAGATTATATAAGTCTATGTAATTTGTAACATTTTGTATGTAAAATCACGCAATCATCAATTACATGTTATCTGCTGGTTAAGAGACAAAAATCTAGTGTTTTATTTCATTTAGATATTCTCATGGTGAGAGGGACTAGACATATAATAGAAAACAAGACGATGACATTGACCCATTTGAGATAGAGCAATCGTTATCCTTATAAAGTAATGTCGATTAATTATGATCATGGGGATGGTCCATAAAAGGAAAGAAGACAGGCTTATGCATCATGCCTGGGCACTGCAAATTAATGATTTGGAGTTAGGTTGGTTTATGATAAATCCAGAGGCAATAGTAATATCTTGATCTTCTCTACAGTCATTTTCTTGGTCTTCATCCATGTGATTGTCTTCGTCTTACTCGTTATCATTGAATTGTCGCAGTTGCGAAAAGAGAAGAATCACATATTAATACGTGACTAGCTAGCTTTGTAACAAAAAAATCATACAAAATATAATTAGCAAACGCAATTGCCGATAACTTATTTGGTTAATAATGATTTTTTATTGTCATGTACGTGTACGTGCTGGTCTAAGACCAAATGAAACTATAGATATATCGAACCTTCGTTGTTAACAAGGAATATATAAAACAATCATCTCGCTAGTGGTTAAACATTGGATGATAGTCAAATCACAAATGGTTGAAAAGTTCATTAGTTAATCATACGTGATTTAAATAGCAAGATTAATCGATTTTGTAGATTTAGAAGATTTGTTTGAGGTTCGAAAACTATGTTAATAATAATGAGTAACATGACGACGACGAACCTCGCAAAAAAAAAATGAACGGAAGAGAGAGTTATACATATACGTCCCTATTTCATCGATATTCAGACAAAAAGAAGCAACCACGACAATAATCTTCTTGGAATCAACCAAAAACATTCTTCTTTATTATCTATCTTTTTGGTGTCTAGCTTCCAACATTCTCTTCTTTTGCTTTCCTTCTCGTGTTTTGTCAGTCCAGTAAATAAATTACCTTCAAAGATTAGCCTAAAACCAAGATGTGTAAGAAATAAGAATCAATGCTATAAAAGCAATTTCAATTTACTTCCGCCAATTTCTAGGATATATATATATATATAACAGCTCGAAAACTGTAGAACATATTTCGTTTGTCCATATCATCAAATATTTACAGCTCAATTTCTATAGTTGTCCATAATGTAATAAAGAAAATTGATTATTGTTTCTCATGTCAAAAACAAAAAAACTGAAAATGCTTTCTAATTTAAAACTTTTTTTTTTTGGTTTGTTGGCATCGTAGCTTTTAAAAATAAAAGAAAGGAGCACAGTGTTTGGCTACTTTTTGCTATTCCAGTTTGGTCCACCTCTGATGTGGAGTGTAAGATTTTTTTTATAGGGATCAGAAAAAATTACGAGGGTTAACACGTGCGCACACGTGAGAGATTTAAGACACTTGACTTAAGCGGCCACCCGTCACGTGCGGGCTAGTTTTATACCCACTCGTTTCCGGTCCAAATCTATCTTTCTGTGATTTTCCGACACGTGTTCTCTTCCTTGGTCCATCGCTCTTATTTCCTCCAAACATTTTTTGTATTTACCCAATTTTCTCGAATTCATTAATATTTTCTTTCTATAAATTTTAGCCGTTTTAAGGGTGTTATTTTATGCTCATATTTTCCCGTAGTTTATAATATTCATAGTATATACTTTTTAAAACAGATATAGACTTTTTATATAGATACTACATACTTTAGTTTTCCTTTGTTTTTGAATAAATATAACCGATTTATCAGACGAAATGTGTGTATATTGAGCCCTATCAGCATTTGATATATTAAATTCAGATTGCTTTGAGTGATTATCAGCATATATTTAGTTATACGCTTAAATTAATGTCAGAAAATTACTAACCAATATAGCTAGTAGACACATACGTGCATAGATAAGATGGTTAATAATAGCGTTGAGAGTGTCCCACCACCATTGGACCATGTACCGTTTTACGACGACATGTACACGTCCGTGCACACTCGCGAACAGAGAGTGAGTTACTATCGAATTAAATATTCATATATGGTGGATTGGATTGAGTGTGTGTGTGTGAGAGATTTGAAATGGAGTAAGCCCTAGCTAGTTAATATATATATAAATAGAAATAGCTGGTAATGCATGCGAATGACGAGTTGTGCATGGTTGATATTGGACATTGTATGCCCCTTAATTATTCTTTTATCTTTATAACATTCATATCAATTTATGGTATATATGTATAATACATAGCTGTCCAAATGCTTTAATTGATTTGTGTTACGACGAATCTTCTTCGTTCAACACGTACTCTATGTTTTGGTACTCTATTATTAATTGTTGAACGAAATCGATAAAGAAGGCTTATTTCGAAGTAAGTCTATAGTAAGATACTGCTTTTAAAACACAACCGCTTATTATAAGTTATAACTAGTGTTTTATGTCCTTAAAAATAAACGTTTTATCTGTTTGTCAAATTCGTCTTTACCGCCATTTTGGTTTATATAGAAAAGTGATTAATTACTTGTTTAGTTGATTAGATTTGATTGCTGGAGTCAAACTTTGGAAACTAATTGGCTAAATCAGCACGTTACTCTCATGATTATATTTTCACTTTTTCACAAGCCCCCCACTTCACCCACCACGAATAGGGACAAATCCATATTACCGACGTAAGTATCCGTTTATAAACTGACTCATTAGCATTATCATTAATAAGAGTGTTTGATCAATTCAAAGTCGAATATCTTTGATTCTCTGTTGACTCTTCTATTATTTGATCGAATAAATTAACTTTCCGACGTATAGTTAAAGGTATATATATATCGGTTGAAATCAATTCTTCTTCTTGTTTAGCAAATCGATCCCTTCTCATATATACAATTTGATACTATATTTTTCTTACTTTTTTCTTATTGAAGCTATTAAAGGATTGATTCTCGATTATGCGGGGATTTCGAGCTATAAATAATAAAAACATCCGGTTAAATAAAGTGATCATTGAAAACAAACGAAAAGAAAATAAAAGTGGGAAAATGGGTCCGTACTAATGTATGTGATCTTTCCTTTGTATCGGATTTTTTTTTTCCTTGGCTACGTAACTTTTGACCACACAGCCATATTAGCCTTTTTTAGGTTTTGTGTATATAGGCAATAATCTAATTGTTTTTATACTTTTCTAAACACACCAAATTTCAAGCTAATTAGCATGTTTGTGTTAGCTCTAATAGCTTATCATAATGCTATGATTCGGTGGTCTAATCTTGTTAATTCTTACTTTGTACCGAATGTCATGTCTTTATTTTTTTGTGTGGTCAGAGTCATTTTTTTATCATGTTAATAGTGTAAGCGTCTGCAGGATAAATGCCCGAAATATATGAATGTATTAATAAGACTGTTAATGTTAGATGTGTGGGATGCTTTCCCGTTCCATCAACGCAAATCAAATCGAAGGTTGTCAAGCTGTCACACGTACGTAAAATATTAATAATATTTCGCTATTTTTAAACAGTGTTTTGAACTAAAACTTTTACCATTCTAGAATCTATTTGCATGTCGATTTTGCGTTACAGTACTAAACGTCCAACCACGTTTAAACAACACATTTCAACATTTATTTTCCATCAAACAGAATTCTGTATTCTCGATTTATGGAAGAGCTATATACTAATTTTACAATCTTGTGGTTTAATTATCTGTAGCGTTCATCATCTTGTGGTTTAATCATCCGTGATATGATAAAGTGGTGATTAAGAAAGCTAGCGTGTACTAACATTTCGAGCTAGCTAGACTTATGATGCATAATCCAACATTATACTCTAATGCCATGCTTAGAGCAAGACAAGCTAATCCAATCAAATTCAGACAGAAAAAAGTACTCGAAAAGAATCAAATATTGGATACTATTGTCCATGACATTTGAGACCAAGTCTCTTTCACTTTTGTTTGCCCATCTTATTGTTCATTATTAGTAGCATCAAATCATATCTTTTACTTTTAGTTAATTAATGTTTTTTTTTTTTTTGTTTCTACTCTAACCTCTTCTTATAGAGTTTTAGTTTTACAACAAAGGAGAAGAAAAAAAAAGAGTAAGAGACGAAGAAAAGGCAACGACTCTTTGCTGTTGTAAATGATGACATAGTATAGAAAACTTGGTTTCCTCTTTTTTCTTTTGTCAGAGATCAAAAGATTTTCGAATTCTCGCAATAATAAAGATTAGTTAAATCTCACAATAATTCTTAGCTAAGTACGTTTCTTAGTTATATGTATGACCAACATATACCAAATTTAGGATGATTAACAAAGATAGTTTTATACACAAGTTACTTAAGATAAGAGAATTTAAAAAAGAAAGAAATAAAACAAAAACCGTTTTAGAAAAACGGTAAAAAAAAA